GAGCTCGCGGCCTCCAAGCAGTTGAGTCTCTCGATTACTGGGGACAGTAATCCGCACACCAGGGTCTCCATGGCTTTCAGAGAAGCGCTATCCCCAGCAGCACTTGCAGAATAGGCAGGCGTCGGTGCAGGTACAGTCTGTTGTCGGCTAAGAAGCTCTGCGATGCGTTGCCTCAATTCAGCGATTTCTTCGTCCCTCCTCGAAAGGATCTGCTGAAGTTCTTCGCTCCGTGCAACTGCCGCCTCAACTTTAGCTTGCAACGACGCGTCACTGCCGCTTTTTGCGCCGTCTTCATCCATCGTTGCTGACGTTGTAGTTAAGCCTTCTCGTTGATGCGAAGAGCTCAATGGGCAATTTGATACTGACCGCCGTCCCCACATAAATTTACCTCATTACGGAGTCCCCGTTCGGGCGCCAAGTGCGACGAAACTCGATTGGTCGTCGAAATATCTCTTTTAATGTTCGGCTCCGTTGAGGCGTGGTGACATTCTTTTTCTTTTCCTGGCGCCCAACGTGGGGCGTTGGGCGCCAGGAAGGTGAGAGTTTAGTTGTTAATGTATGCATTGACTTCACTAAGTGGAATCAATGTATGTAGGCACCCAGGCAACAAATCTGATACTATTCTGACTGGCAAAGATGAGGTTCTCACGCTTAAGAAGAGACACTACCCAAAGGGTCAACTTTGGAACCTTCTGCTTAATGTGAATGAAATTTACAGTATGTACTGGCAGTTACGAGGCAGAATGCAGTGCAAAGTTTCATTTGTATACATGAATTGTAAAAGAAATTGTAGTCGTTTTCATCAGGAACACCCTGACTTTGTTTGGGAAAACTATTGTTAGAAAACTAATATCCAACGTTTTTCTTCACTAGATACGCAGCAGAATGCCTGGAGAGTGCAACTGTGAAAACAAAATTTCCAAAAATAATTTATTTTATGTTAACACCTTTCATAAAAGACAGCCACAAGATTGCCCATTAAACTCCAGTGTAACAGAAAAATGTGTTCACGAAGTGCTCCACGCTCTACCTTTTCGTTAGCATCAGTGGACCGAAAATAATTTATAAAAAAATAACTATGCAGTGTAAACAAATGAAACTCTCTGGGAATACTCTCTAGATGTTGGTGGATGTAAATAGTGTGGCATTTTTCAAAATTAACTTTTTTTTCTAGGTAGTGTCCCCCCTCATCTTTTTCCTGACCATTCCCTATAGACCGTTTTACTGAAAGAGGGCGAGCGAGAAAAGGGGAAAGGGCTACCGGCGCTTTCCCCCTTTCTGATTGTGTAGAAAGAGTGAAAGTCCCGGATGAGAGGCTTGGCCGGTGTTGGGTGTCTGCTGTGCCCCAACTTCGTTCGCGCTTTCTTTTCTGTTTTGAACTCGCAAACTTAATTAGAGTAACGGGCTTCGATGGCAACAGTTCCCCGGTCATCGGGACACCATTGCTCGGTCATAGGGTGCACGAATAACGACAGAAAGCGTCGAATACTGCCCGAGGACCTATGTAGCTTGCAATGAATCCGGCAAGGCGAGAGCGGCTGCAATGTCTTTAAGCTCCATCGCTTTCCACATGACCCCGGTCTTGGCGGCAGTGGGTTGCGTTCGTAAACCGAAAAGACATATCCTCAACACCATCTTCTCGACTGTGCTCGGAACAGCTTGTGAATGGAGCGCGCACCGAACGCTGTATCGCCGATGAACATGGGGTACGCTCGCAATGTGCGTGCGAGTTTTCTCATGATAATTGCTGTTTCAGCTTGTAAAATTTTGTAACTGAATTTATCTTAATATTCATAATTTGCAGTGGTGACTGACTCGATTTCATCATTTACAACACTTAGTTGAAGGCTTATTTCCGCCGCCGGGTGAGGCTAGAAATTGTTGAAAAGGTAGTTCTATCGGTTTTTCTGAATAGCGATCCCCTGTGCGATGCCAGAGAGCCGGCAAAAGCGCTCCTTGGCGTGCCGCTGGTGGTTTTGTTGGGGTTGTTTCCGTTGATTGGGCGCTTTGAAGCGCTGGATTGTCACTCCAGGGTACGACTCGCGTGTTGCGATCTGCGTCTTCGAGCCCAGTGTGTACGTTTCTTTGTTCGAGTCATGGCATCCGACAGTGCGGCAACGGGGGGAACAGCGGCAGCCAACGTGTCAGTGATAGAAATTGGAGGTTAGTACTCAAAATGTTGCATCAAATAGTAAAATAATTCGTGGCTGCTTAGACGCTTTCTGTGGTTCGATATAAGCACATCTAGAACGTCTTCGTCGTTCATCCACAATGAAATATGAGAACACGGACATGCAAGATAAAAGCAGCGCAGCAAAACGATCTGTAGCAGCTCCGGGTGTTTACAAAAGTTAATTGAAGTTCCCGTTTCGTGTATCGCTTGTTGATTACTAAAAACGGCAGCGTTGAAATGGGTCTATTGCAAGCAAAAATTTCTGAATGGTTAATCATTTCCAGTCCCGCGGAAAGCGGTGGAGCTTCAAAACATTGCAGCCGCACGTGCCTTGCCGAATTCCATGCAAGCTACGAAGTCCTTGGGCGGTATTCGACGCTTTCTGTCGTTATTCGTGCACCCTATGACCGAGCAATGGTGTCCCGATGACCGGGGGACTGTTGCCATCGAAGCCCGCGGCTCTAATTAAGTTTGCGAGTCTAAAACAGAAAAGAAAACGCGAAAGAAGTTGGGGCACAGCAGACACCCAACACCGGCCAAGCCTCTCATCCGGGACTTTTACTCTTTCTACACAATCAGAAAGGGGGAAAGCGCCGGTAGCCCTTTCCCCTTTTCTCTCTCGCTCTCAAAATGGCGCTACCCACGATAAAACGGTCTATAGGCCATCGATCACCGGTGATCGATGGTTTACGAGCGCCGTCAAGGAATTTAGTGAGAAGATTTTTGTTCTACAATTTCGAGGATAGCCGAAGAACTCTAGTTTCAATATCAACGTAGGTTTGAGCTTTATCAGAAGCTAGTGGGCTGTCAAAAATAGTCCTGGGAACGATGGTTGCACCTGTCTAACAAAGTTAACTGCTTGCATCAGTCTTCGTAACAAAGATGGCATTATTTACATAATTCAACTGTATTGAGGCATATTTTTAGAGCTCTGGCAACACTTTAAATGATTTTTTTTTTTTAAGCTTGAAGCTTGAAGTCTTTATTTCTTTCGGATCAACCGAAAGGGGAACAGAGACTAAAGGCAGAAAATGCCTGACGAAGGTCTCTGTCCCCTTTGCAGTTCGTACATACGGTACACAGTATAGTAAACACTCATGCAGTTGTAGAACAATCAGCAATTCAAATAATGTCATAGCTTTATAATACATCATCATGAGGATCGCAACTAGTAATATAGATTGTGAAAGAAACTTTTTCACAAGTTCAAAAAATAAGAACCATCAAATTGTACATGTATAAAAATGGCTATAAAACAGTGTCCCTGCCCACCAAGAGTGTCCTCAGCTCTTTTTTAAATTTAGAAAAGGAGTTATTAAAATCCACGAAGGTCCCAATTGAATTTAATGATTTGTTCACCTGATAATCTTTAGTTTGCTTTCCGTAATTTGTTCGAATCTGTGGGGGTCGTCTTAAAGAGTGCCGAAAGGTGTATCTGTGCTCTACATCACTTGTATTTTTATCATAAAGTTTCTCAGTTTTGATACGTTGCATTAACTTGAAATCATAAATTTGGTTAGCCTTGAGTATACCATGTTTTTTAAAAAGTGGCTCAGTTGGAAGGTCTTGCATATTTCCCGTGTAACTTTCAAATAACCGCAAAATTTTCTTCTGTAATTTAAGAATCTTATTGTAGTTTGTGAGCGTGGTGGTGCCCCATACTAAAATACAGTAGCATAACTTTGAGTAAAAAAGAGAGTAATAAATTTGTTTTTTTAACCATGTAGGAATCAGGTTTCTTATTTTATACAAACATCCAAGTGCCTGAGAAAGCTCAGCAGTCAACTTATTTACATGTGCATTCCAGCTAAGCTCCTGGTTAAACCAAACGCCTAAAAGTTTTTGTTCGGGGACTTACTCTATAATCGTGTTTTCGAAATACAGAGTTATTGGAGTATTATCATGTTTGTTTATTGGAGCAAAAATTATATACTTGGTTTTCTTAGAATTTAGTTGCAGTTTATTTTTATTGAGCCACACTGCTAATTCAGCGAGAATTAGCGTCGTTTAACAGATGGCTATTGGTAAGCATCACTACAATTTCTAACGCTGTCCTGAGCCAGCGTGCACTTTTTATGTATCCAACAAGGTGGACAAACATGCCAAATATGAAGGAACTGCCATCATGGCTATGACAAAACCAAGGTAGAACACAAAGGAAGCATTCCGCTGGGGGTGTGAGGTTGTACTATTTGTGATCCACCGATATAAGCATTTCTTTGTTGAAAAGCACATGTGTTACGGGGGCTAACTCTCCGACAGACCGAAAATAGACAACTTCAGATAGATTAATTACACTAACTTTCAGATGTAATAGCCATGCGTGAGGGGCACATTTTGTATATTCTGAATTATTTTATTTGTCATTTATTTTGACATAGCTGTAGAAGTTTCGGCATTTATATGCCTAACGCACATATATTATATTTTCAAGAAACTAAATGTTCATATATTCCCCTCCCCCCCTCCCCCCCCCCCCCCATTATACGAGCCTGTGTTTCTTTTTAAACAAACTAAATGGCCACATTTTGATGTGTCGTACTGCTCCATACGGAAATTAGCTCGGGAAATAAAAGCGGATGCACGAATCTCTTGAAAATTGCTACTTTTCCCGTGGTCAGGAAAGAGTTAAAGCGCTTGCAGTGGTAAAACATTTTTTTCGGGGATCAAAAACGCACGAGTTTGATGCAAAAAGAACCTACTATATTGAGCGTTGAAAATTCATGTCAAACACTACCATGAATGAACAAGACACACAGAGAACAGAGTTTGTAAATTTGGCAAAGATATGACTGATACGGATGGAACAATCTGCGTGAAAGGGTACCTTTCAGGTGACAGTGCAATTTGGCCTCCTCGGCATTCCAAACGGACACAGCATGATCCAGGGACGAGGAGACGAAGTAGGTGTCATTGAACGCCTTGAGCTACGTGACATGAAATTGTTATCACAAACGTGGTTAGGAAGGGCAATAGCTTTGTATGAAATAAAATACAAGCTATATCAACGTAAAAAGCTAGACACCAAGTAATTTTGTTTTCTAAATGTAACTTCCTGCATGCCGGCAGATATGATGAACGACACATAATAGGTAGTCTGAACAACTAAAAGGTTCTCCATTCACTCTATACGTTATTAGCATGCCGCAGTGATTGCACATACTTCTTCTAAGTAATGCCCTCGGATCATTATTAATTATTACCAAGTTATTTATAATATTAAAATGACTAAATAAATTACCATTAATTCATCGTAATTACAACAATTTTTCAGTAATGGTAAGTAATTATGATGATAATTAATAATGAATTATTACTAGTTATGATTAAATCATATGCTAACGTGTTAATAATTATACCTATCACTTATTTGTTATGACAATTATTCATTAAAAATCATACGAAGTAGCCGGCAATTCAGAAACAGTGCCAAAACACATAGAGACACCAAATTATTAAATGACTTAATTATGATGATTATTGATGATTAATTATGATAATTATTAATTACACATGCACATAATTAATAACCACAGTGCATCATTACCGAGGCATCAGCTGTTCAAGGGAACATAAATTAAACAAATTAATGATAATTATAATAATTGATTATGATTAATTATATTAGTTTTCTATCAACTGGTACAACATCTATTTATTAAGGATCATTAACCAATTAATTTATGCCAACAAAATAGCACATGTGACTCTTTCGTGATGTTAGGCTCAACTCATGGGTAACACATTCTGCATCGAAAGGGCAACAAGGCATAGGGGGGGCGCATGGACACTGACCTGGAGGATCTCTCCATCATGAGCCACCCAGGAGCCGAGCATGAAGCCCGTGCGAACGTCCAGCACGGAGAGCACGCCCGAGGAGTGGCCCACGGCCAGCCAGTTGCCGCTGGGCCCCACTGCCAGGCAGCGCACGACGCCCGCCGACCCCGTGGACACCCGCACCTCGTGGGTGTACCGCATTGTGCGGGTGTCCAGGAACCTGGGAAATGGGCGAGATGAGAGGTGCATCACGGGGCAAGGACCAATCACCGCGAGATCTAATCTACCTCTTGCAGGGCGAGTTGAGACGTTGTCTGCGGGTGATTCGCCCGCTACGCGGAGGGAAAGGGGTCCGCTTCTCGCGCAGCAGTTGCGGTGACGTCGGAGGGATGCCGAGCTCCGATTGGCTTTGATTGAAAGGATAGTGGGTAGACCTCTATGTTAGATGCCACGAGGTCTACCCACTATTTTTTTCAATCGGGCGTCGTCGCAACCCCTGTGCAAGAAGCAGACAAAATTGCGCTCCGGATAGTTGCCAACAAGGTGGAAACGGCGGGGAAGAGCTTTGGTTGTCCTGCCTCCAGCGCGAGCTTTCCACCTTCAGCATCTAGTGGAGTGTCGAGTAAGGCACGAAACATGGGCTGGAGGCCGGGTGTTAGAAGGACGCGCTCTGGCATTCTTGTTTCGTCGGCGACGATGAAGCAACCGAGGAAGGGCGTTTGACTCCAGCCACCCCAGGCTGACGGTGCAGTGGAAGCTACAAGCTCGTTGGACCAGCCATACGTCTGTCTTTCACCACGCGATTACGCTCCCGCTTGTACCGACGTGCAAAGAGCGGGGTCGGGGGACGAAAGAGAAGTGGCCGATCGGTCCGGCAAGCGCGTAGCTCCCACGGCACTGTCAGCTTGGGGTATACAAAGTATACCCCAAGCCGACAGTGCCGACAGTACAAAGCAACACTTGCGGACGAAAATGGAACCAGAAAATGCCTTCGTGTCAACTGCAGGAACGGCTACCGGCGAGGAGATCGAACGATGGGGGGCGTTTTGTCCAGCTTGTTTTTCAAAGAGCTCAGTTTTTACCCGACATGAGCAAGGCTCGTGGACTGGATTCTTTGTCTCAATGGAGTGCGGGGCACAGATTCGGCAAGAGTTGCGTCAGTGTTCGCTGAGGCTCGTGCGAAAGATGTGAAAGAATGCAGATTCGCGTTTGACGGTGTGATAAACATAAGAAACTGCAACAAACTCGCGTATCATAGAAACCAATATCGTTCGCGCAAATCGCGGAGAAAATAAAAATTAAACGACACGGGAACGAGCCGCAAACTTGCACGTCATGGTAACAGATACCGTGAATTGCAGACGTAGCAGATTCACGTGTCACAGTGCGCTGAACACGAGAAAACCTGCGGAAAACACGGTCGTCACGTGTACCCACACCGCAGATCGTACGATTGATGCGAATCCTCGTGGGACATGGCACAATCGATACCCGGCAAGAATTGGGGGGGGGGTAGGCGATGTTCCGGAATTTTCGTTACGGATGTTCGGTACAAAAAACAGAATGGGCGATCTCTCGGGGGGCAAGCCTTCGTACAGGACTTTACAGCTGTTCACCGATTGAACTTGAGCCTCAGCTGAATGCTGACACGGCGTTCAGCTACTTCGACCGAGCGCCGAGTCGGAAACGCGAACAAATATTTTGTGTTGCTGTCGTCCCGAAGGGTTTGGTTCTTGGCTCAGTCACTTGGGGCGCCACGATTCAATCTCCTCCCCAACGGTAGTTGGCATTGTTTCTTGTTTTTGTTTACCTGACCGTGGAGTTTGACGTGGCAGCCAGGAAGGTGGTGCTGGGAGATGGCATGGCAAGCAGGGCCGTGACGGGATGCGTTTTGCTGGAGTCAAACTGCTTCAAGCATGAGCCCATAAAGGGATCCCAGATCTGGAAATAAGTTGGCCTTTACTATTCTTTCTGCAACATACTTCTTGGATCGAGCGTAACATTATACCCAACTCCCCCCCCCCCCCCTCCCCACGTTACTCTCCAAAACCTTACGCACAGAGAATGGAGGAAGTGAGAAGTGTATAGAATAGAGTAAGCGTGGTATTAAATTGGAATTCACCATGACATATAGAGGGTGCGTTTGTGCAGGTAAGTTATACAGCCAGGAGGACATAATGTAGGGGCAGATTGTTGCGTTAAGTCGAATAATTAAACAAAATTTGTCACTTAACTTCTTAGTTAATAAAAAAATGACACATGGTTTCAATTAAAAGCTTGTTGAGCATCATCAAAAACGACTAAATCAATAAATGTTGGAAAGACTGAGCGTGTGGGAAGTGCAGTAGCAAACTAAAGTTACCACTCATGTAACGGGCACGACAAGAAATGGAAAAATTGCACGGGTGCTTTATCGCGTCGGTGGCCTCATTTCTGCTGGACGAGCGGAAACTCTAGCACTCCACCGTGCTTCCCACATTTTTCTAATATTGATTTATTTAGTGGTTTTCGACGACACTTAGCAACGCAAGTGACAAAAGGGGCACCCGCTCAGTGGTGGGTGCCCCCCCGTATTTATCATGAATTTCTTTAGGAAGTTTCGCTTCCTTATCTTCAAAGATGGCCCACCTCATGTTTTTTTAACATTTATCTCTTCCTTTCGGGTGGGCACCATTACGGGATTTTACGGGAAATCTGAACTTTGCTACCATTAACCCCTTAACCTTTTTGGACCAGCCTAGCTTGTCAACGTGAAGCCATCCCCAAGGCGTTCAGGACGAGTGTAGCTTTTCTGATTTCTTCGTTTCATGCACTTAACAGTTTTGGACGGACCAGGCTTGCTCATGGTTTGGTTTGAGGCTCTGCCAACAAAGGGCAGCACTCAATTTTTTTCAAATGTTGCTCCCATTTTGTTTGTGGCTATAAACGTAATGTTGAAGGCAACAAATGAAATTTTGAAGACAACAATTCAACAGTTGAGGGTCAGATATTTCCCAAAACTAAAAAAGTTAAAGCCGTTTACAACTCCCTGTAATGCCGAATTGGAGCGCAGCTCTTGAGGAGGAGGAGGGAAGGGTACTGAGGGGAGGGCACTGAGGGGAACGGTACCGAGGGGTCACATGACCTGGGGGGTCACGTGATCGGGGGGGGGGGGGGGGGGGTCACATGCACTGGGAGGTCATTTGACCTGGGGGGTCACGTGACCTGGGGGGGGTCACATGACCTTACGGTTACGCCGACGGCAACGACACTCAAGCCGGAAACGGGCGCTTAAGAGCTGCGCTCTAAAACGGCCAAGGGGTTATGTATTCTGCAACGAGAATGAATACAACAAAACGCCCGGCTGACAGCAAAAGTCGTCCCGATGACCCCTTACGTGCACGGCGTAATCGCTGGAGCCGACCAGGCGCAGGGAGGGCAGGAAGGCTACGGACACGACCGCCTTCCGGTGGTGCGGGTAGGTCCACTGGGGCGCCACGACAGCCGAACCGTCGCCCGAGCTTCGCAGGGACCACAGCTTGACCGTGCGGTCCTTGCTGCCGGACAGGAATGAGTTTTCGTTGTCCAGCACCTCGAGCGACCGCACGCCCCCCGTGTGGCCCGAGAACGACTGCAGCTTGATCTGCTTGAAGTTGAAGTGGGCGTCCTTGTCGCTGCGCCCGATCTCGTGCTCCCAGTACGCCAGCCAATTGCCCTTCAGATGGCGCTGGCTGTTGGTCATTTTCCTGCGCGGGCGGAAGAGGAGGCCACAGGTAAAGGGCCGTCCGCACGGTCCCATTTTCTCACGTTGTAGTACGAATGTTTCATACTTCTGGTTAACCCTTTATCTGTTTTGGACGAGCCTAGCTCACCAACGTGGAGCCGTCCCCAAACCGTTCGGGACAAGTATAGCTTGTTTACTATCTTGGTTCATGCACTCAACCGTTTTGGACGAACCAGTCTAGCTCGTGGCTTTGTTTGCGGCTGCGCCAACAGATGGTAGTGTTGAATTTTTTTTTAGAGCGCAGCTCTTAGGCGCCCGTTTCCGGCTTGAGCGGCGTCGGCGTAACCGCGAGGTCACGTGACCCCCCCAAGGTCACCCCAAGGTCACGTGACCCACCAAGGTAACCCCTCCTCCAGGGTCACATGACCCCCCAAGGTCATGTGACTCCCCAAGTCATGTGACCCCCCCCCCCCAAAGGTCACGTGACCCCCCCCCCCCCCCCCCGAGGTCACGTGACCCCCTCCCCCCGAGGTCAGGTGACCCCCCCGGAGCATATTCAAGAATGAGGGGAGGAGGAGGAGGAGGGGTCTACCCTCCCCTCCTCCTCCTCAAAAGCTGCGCTCCAATTCGGCGTTACAGGGAGTTGTAAACGGCTTTCACTTTTTTAATTTTGCTCTTATTTCTTTTGTGCCTAGAAATTTGATTTTGAGGGCAACAAATGTATTTTTAAAGACAATAATTAAGTGGTTGAGGGTAAGAAATTCTCAAAAACTATAAACAATTAAAGGGTTACATTTAAGGAATATCAAAATTTTGGTTGTCACCTTATGTTTTTTATGTATTTATGGGCCACCTAATTTGAACGGTGTTTTCGCCATTCAAATTTTTTTCAGTTTTCATACTTTTTGTCCCACGGCCCCTTTGAGCGTGCTTCTTGCCAAGCATCGGTGCACCGTGGAGAAGCGACATCCGCAGAGCTCGCTTCCACGATGTTGCTTCTCCGCAGTGCACCGGTGGTCAATAAGAGGCGCACTCAACGAGTCAGTCCACCATAGACAACATTTTTGAGGGATGAATAGACTTATCTCATATCTTTCACTAATGCTTCACGTGTGACATACCTGTCAATGATTTTAGGCCGGTGTAGAGGAAATCATCAAATATCTGCTTTGAATGTGTAGTCACACATATAAAAAATCATTATTTTATCCTGCATCACATTTGCTGAATTTCTGATAATTCAAACTTCTGATAATTCAAACCACAAACCTTGTGGTTACACCACAAGTGAACGGGACATCCGTGCTTCGTATGAAGTGTGGTAACCAATGCAAGAAGTCTATTAGCACGCACCATTCTTCGATTAGCACGCACCATGCCAAACACAGACTTCCCTGTGACTCGTAAGTAAATGGTCCTGTGTGAATAAGTCCTTCAAGTTTGTTTCGTCATAGGTTCGAGCGGGGCCAAAAACTAGTTGCAATGGAAACAAAAGCAGACAGACTAAAAAAGCAACGACTCGATGCACCCTTCACGCTTGATTGAATCAACTGGCAGTAACACGTGAATAGAAACACGATACTGTGCACTTTGTGTGACTGGCACTTTTCGGTACTAGTCAGTAGAAAGTGCTGAATGGGAAAAGTCACTCGACAGTAACTAGCACTTTCTGAGAGACTTATTTGGCTCCCGGTAGCTTGTAGTGTTGGTACCGCTCGAACATGAGGTAGCAACTTCACTTGTCTTTCCAACTTCGCATGACCAGAGGATGGAAGCGCTACCTTGTGTTGATTGCCATTATCTCATTCCAACCGAACCAAACCTAGAATAGTATTCACACACGGACGATATGCCACTGGGAGGGATGCCAGCACTGGCAGTCGAAATGAAGTTCTTGACAGCACAGAGGATGAATGTAGCAGTTTCTGTACTCTGCACTAAAATTTTTGACGACAATATTGTTACAAGCAAGCTGATCCCCAGCAAAACTGGGAATGTTTGTACTGCCCAAGCGACCCACCGCGGCGAAGCAGATGTCACGACGTCGTGAGAAAGACCATAACAGCCAACAATCTATACTCAAAACAAGCAGGTATGACTTGTTAGGTGCTCTTCCCAGAGCAAAGTGAACGCCGTTTCATCCCCGCAATCGCCGTAGCAAAAGTAGATCCTGCAAGTGTCGCCAGGTATTTCAGTTGCGCCTTAAGATGTTGACCGTCGTAACGCACCACCGACCATTACTACTTGTCAATAATCACATTGCCAATCATTCCTGCAGTGACGCGTGACCTGTTTGTTTCACACGTTACCTTTTTCTTTTATTACCATCGAGTTCTTACGAATTTACTGACTATTTTGACAACCCCTAGTTTTTCTGTGCCAGGGGTGAATGTGTCAGAACCAAAGGACCCCGACTTGTCACCTCATCAACAAGTTGATGTCGTATTTTGGCGCAGTGTCTGGAAGTTCACCGGCGGCCACAAGATGGCTTTCTTCTCCGAGCTGTACGTCAATCCGGTTTCCCACCATGGCCACGTTCTTGCCAAACTCCCCGCTCACAATGGCCTCGTCTTGGCCTGCGGAAAGCCGTCGCAAAGAGGGCTGTCGGCTTCAAGCATTTACAAAGATAATGTCAACGAACAAGAGCCAAGTATTATTTTTACAAATAGATGGTAACAGGTCTTGAATAAGAAATGCTGGTATTACATTGCCTTCACTCTTGCGCACAAATTTAGATAGGCTGGCATGCCTCGTCAATTGAAAACATTGAAACCATTTTTTGTTTTGCTTTTGTCGAGAAAAATGGTTGTTACGAAAATATGCCAATTGCTTTACCAAATTCCCTGAGCACCAAGAAGAATGATGGAAACGTAGCTGCACATGTTGAACGTACTCGCCTTATTTGTATAAAAAATTCGAAGTGCTAAAATAAGGTATTGATGAACACACATGCAAAATGCCATAGGTTTTAGACATTTGCTTTGAGAAAACTATCCTCACACATGGCAGCACACGCAGCGCATGCAACTACGCTCGCAGCATGCTCCTTGGTGCTTCAGTGATTTAGCAAAGGTTCATACGAACATGTCCTCTTTCAGCTGCAATGTGACTGATATGCACATAAGGATAACCTGTGCCAGCATAAGCAATGACGCAAAATTATTTTAGTGAAGTCTGTTATATAGTAATAGTAGAGAGCTAAATATACTAAACACAAGAGCTGCAATGTGCCGCAGGACACCTAAGCACTTGCATAGCGTTAGGCCTAACGTCAGGGCAGCGCCCCCGTCACGTTAAACAGCTACCGGTACCGGTTGACGACGTTAGACCTCAAAGCATAATGTTAGGCTTAAAGGGACACTGACAGGGTATTTATGCTCGCCGAGGTTTTTAGTTGTACGTGTCATATGAGAGCTCAACTACCCAGAACAGAATTTGCGGCTCCAAATTCGGTTTCTTTCCGCCCGAAAACCGCCGATCAAGAACTGGCCGGTTCGAGTCTCGCTCACTCTCTTTTTCGAGGTCACAGGCCGTTTTCTAAGGTATCGATGCGACCGCCAAATTTAATCAAAGTCGTGGGTCACTGAAGGCACACACTCAATATTAAAAATAGAAAAAAATATGAAACCCATTTTTTGTGGCTTCTAAAAAGCTCTAAATACGTTGATTGAAAAAAAAAAAAGTTCCACAGACAACCGGAAGCATTCTGTGCGTTCGTCGTTTCGCGTATCGTGGGACTCGCGGGGACGGCGATGGCAGCGGACGACGGGCGTGGGACCTCTAGTTCAGAACTGTCGTTCGCGGTATCGGCAAATTCTGTCTACCTTTAAAAGAGAAATTTGGGACTGATCAAAAGAATTGGTATTCATCCCGTACGACACGCCCGGCCACCAAGCCGATTTGCACGAAGACGTCGCCGAGCCGTCGCTCCCTTCTCGTGGCTGAAGACATCGCTCGCGCAAACGTCAAGCACGACGTGTCTACTTCGAGTTGAATATGCACGCGTACGATTTCTTTACTAGGTGCGAATGTCCCCAAAGCGAGGTGCTTCCCGACTTCGACTCGGGAGTGCTTTTGCTAGAGAAAAATCGACAGCAAACTTTCCAACTTAGTTTACCGGCTGAATTATTACAAAGGAAAGAGATCCACCAGAAAAGAGATCCTCCAGTAGCGCAGTGGGAAAGACGTCCGGTTCACACGCGGTAGAACCGGGTTCGATCCCCCGTGAAACTTTATTTTTTTTAAAACATTTCCCGATGTTTACATATCTTTTTTCTTTTTTTTACAATCATCACTGAAGAAACAAACAAAAAATAACAAACAAATGTTACAGACGATACTTCGCTGAATTAAATGGTATGTGATTTCCTTTTTGACACCTGCGAACTCAATGTAATCACTTTCCACAAAATGCAAGGAGCATATAAATCGGGTAGCGTCCGCTTTCCGAGGTGCCCGTATATGTTCTACAGGAATTGCAGCCAGCCAATGGTCCTGATCCCGTTGATCTTTCGGAAACTCTGTCGCACAATGCCACTTTTTTTCGGACGCAGGACATGTGAGCCAGCTCTTCATGCAACATCTTGGGTGTATTCTTTTCGGAGCCGATCATGGAAATTCACCACGGGCACTCCCTACTCATCTCCGACTCCTCAATGTACAAAACAACTCATCTTGGAGTACAGAAAAACGAGCGGAATAAACATAACTGCAAAAGAATCGCCCGGCGAGCAGTTCCCGCACGCCGCATCACGCGCCGCATGTCGTGTCGTCTGCTACGAAAAAGAGAAAGAAAAAAAAACGCACGGTCGGGTGTAGCCACGTGACTTCCGCCACTCACTCTCTTCTCTCCACTTCTCCGACCTCCGTCGGGTTTCGGTTTCGAGCAGTTGCGTCTTTCGGCTTTATTAAAAAAATACGCTACTCTGTTGCAAAATATTAATTGGGTAGTCCTCCGACACCATAATAAAGCCCCTGGCAAAAAATGAAAAAAACATTTTGGGGGGTGTCAGTGTCCCTTTAACGTCAGGCCAGCGCATACCCGGTTCCCCCTCCCGCTGCGCCGCCAGCAGTTCGGCGGGCTCCTTAGCAACGTTGACGCCATTGCTATGGAGTCACATGATGCGTGGTAGCCAATGGGAATTTAGGTGCCTTTTCGCTCAGCCAATGGGAATTCAGGTGCCGTTTAATGCTCTCGCATTAAAAATATACCGATGAAATGAAGGCCTGTCAAAAAGTGATCCTGCTATGGAGAAGTCAAAACTGACCCTTATTATGTCTACAATACCTCCAATCAATAGGCGATCAATAGCTCCAGCTGTTAGAAATTCACCGATTGTCTGTCGCTTGAACGACTCCGAAGGCATGAGCTCGCAGCTCGAGCTGTTGGTAAGTTCACCTATCGGCTGTGTCACTAGAATGACTGGTGTTAACCAACAGCAGCCGCAGAAGCCCACTGAGGACACAGCTATAATGAACAGTTGGTGAGCAGACAGCACGCACCGGCAGAAGGAAGGCGGTAGTGAGTCTTCTTGAAACCTCCCCCTCCACCCGGAGCATCGCCACCAGAGTCACCAGAAGTGAGACGAGCGTCGTGAGCGGCACACAGTTCGAGGATGAGGTCGTTGTTGGTCAGTGTCTCCTCCATGTAAATCCTGCAAAAGATTTTACAGTGTTGGCTGTATTGGGCTTCTTATCATGGGCGAGTGTCGTGTTTGTGAAAACAAACGGAGCACGCACGTGTTGATTGCAGGTGGCTTTGGCGCCGAGTGCAACAGTGATGCCCTTGCACTTTTACTGATAATAGTTGCAGTTGAGGCACAGCGTGTTTGGCTAATCGCGATTGCGCTAGGAGTTGTGTGATCGCCCTCGCCACTTGTTCTTTCTCACCTCAGGACGCCCGATCCCTCGGCGTTCTAAGCCTTTGCGCGCAAGAATGGGGCGGCCAAAGCATGCGCCAAAGTAAGCAGCGACTGCTCGACGGCATAAACACGCCCGTGAGAGAGAACATCGTTGATGAGTGGGCGCCGATGGTCTCACCCCAGCTGTTAGGATGGGACATATTCAGCTTCAAGATCATTGTGTGCATCAATGTGCAGCAGCGCAAAGAGAATGTGACCGAGCAAAGCATGGACGTGCTTGTGCGACCAAGCAATTTGGACAGTGTGTCCGCAAGGACCTGTTTGGTGCTAGCTGTTCTGTGTGTGATCGGTTGTGATTTACGTGAGAACCGGTGTCTTTGCCAGCAGCTTGCCATAAGGTTATTCAATCGTCCTACCCAGACACGACCTGACCACCTTTAAGGTGTGTGCTACATGCCTACGAACTGTTTGTGCGTAGGCACGTAGCACACATGTAACAATCAATGTGCGACACGAAAAAAAACTGAAATGCCACATTATAGCACGACGCAACATCACCGAAATTTCTGCTCAATTGGAAGAGAAGGGGGGGGGCAGTGCGAGTGAGGAGAAGGGAAACACAAAGGGGTTTATACAAACGATGATCATGATAACGAGCGCTGCCCGGCACCAGTGTCGCCCCGATTTCTGGCTTGCCATGTCTTGCATGCTAAAGTGACTAAAGCCTCTCAGAAACAACGCTATAGCCAATGCAGCATTGCTTCGTGCGATTTGTGCTTCGCAGCGAGACGCGCATTGCTGGGCGTGCATTGGATATCCGTTAAAACTTTTAGCTGAACGGTCTGGACCTAATACGGGACACATAGCTTTCCCGACAGGGACGATGCGAGACTCGGGACGCTTAATGAAAAGTCGGGACGGTTGGTAACCCTAATCAAGTGTGCACTAAAATTATGATGATCTTGAAAAACTAGGGCATGAGCGCTTGTCAGGAAGGCGTACAAAGTAGGGAAGGGCGGGCTTTGCCGATTTGCACAGGTGTGCTCGGAGAAACAGCTAACACAGAAGAGCGTCTCAGTCAGCTAAGTGGGCTAAGTCTGGGGTGAACACTTGGTACGTCATTTGCTTATTTTAATCTAAAACATCCTTTGGCAAGGTGTTTGGCATTTCGTGAAAGCCAGATAAAAGCGTGGCTGCGAGGCTCGACACTGATTGGTTGAGGGGTGAGAGAGGAGGAGTGAAGTGCTTGATGCTGATTGGTTAACGGGTAGGTCATGTGACCAGAGGGGTAAGCGAGGAAGAGGGGTTTAGGCGAGAAAGACTTTGAAAACCTGTGCACACTGAGGCAGAGGAGCTTGCGACTGTGAAAGGCTCTGGAAGATCGCCAAGTTCATCAGCCCGATTAGCGGTAGTACTGCTTCATTCTAGGAACAACTCAAGTGCACACATGGTATGCGTTAAAGTATCTAATGAAGAGCACCGTGAATGGAGGCGTCTGGCGTCTGGAAACTCGGAGTATCGCTAAACCTTTGTGATGCTAGAAATTTCATGCATGCAACACAATTGGCTAGCAATTTTCCATATCTTGTTTTCAGAAGTATCAGAAGCAGGTAAGCGGTTATTATGGCATGGTATACATCAGGGGTCTCAAACACGCGACCCGCGGGCCGCATGCGGCCCGCGACTCGCTGAGAAGCGGCCCGCAGGCAACCGGCTGCGAGTCCCAGTTTCCATGTCTGGAGCGCTAGAAATGACATATGCCGTAGTGATCACATCTCGTTGATTCATTTTCGCCCGGAAAGAAGCTCCGCTCTTTTCACCTCTTCACATAGTTTATACTTATATGTGTTCATTTGCCCTTTGTTTCGCTTTATTCCTTGCTGCCAAGCTTTTTTGTAATGCACAACAATTCCACTACTTGTCTGCAACCTCGAGCTATTCGTTGAAGGATACATCTCGGCTGCGCAAACTCTCACTTAACAGGAGCGAGTGCCAAAGATATATTATGAGCTCGGCATTTTCACCTTCAAAAAAATATCACAATTAAAAGACGAGTATTTGTTCAGAGTGTTATAATAAAAATTGTTAGGAATTCAAGAACTGCCAGATTAAATTATTGTTTTTAAAGACATGTTGAGCTGGGAACGATAGATTAGGTACTTGCTCTTTTGTTCTTCTGAAAATGCCAGAAGTTGGCGGGGCAGTGCAATCTTAATTTTTGTTATCCCATCAGGTCAGGGCCCAAAGTTGTCATATAAACAAATCAAATTTAAAAATTTCACTGGCGAAACTGCGAGTTTACGAGGTCTGTTCTCACTAAAATCTTCAACCCCCCCCACCCGTCTTACGTTGGCCCTCAAACTTTCCGGTATTGGCTATCTGGCCCCCACACTCAAATGAGTTTAAGACCACTGGTATGCATGGTCGCTACTTTATGGTAGTTTCTTATGGTCACTCGTTTCAAGGTATTGATTCCTAAACGTTACAAAGATGGTGTACATTCATAGATACTACATCATTCTACCATCTGTAAATGCAGACAACATTTAAGAGACGAGCAAAGCTGAGCTTACCCTCCAGCCAACTTGCACAGGGGAACGTAAGTCGTGAAGGCTAGCTCCGCAGTAAACACCTGCTTGATCTCTTTGAGAGCTCGCTCATAAATTCTGTTGGGGTCTGTTGGAACCAAACAGAAAGCGGGATGAACTACCAGCAAAACAATGTCTTTGTAGAACACTATCCAACATTTGAGGAACATGGTTAAAAATAGCAAAGTTTACTAGTAAATTTGATTAGTCGTATCTAGGTCTGCTTCGGGTACCTACCGTAAAATCCCGTAAGGGCGCCCTCCCCCGAGAGATCGCCCATCCCGTTTACCTGGCTAAACATCTGTAACATAAAAATTCCGAAACATCGCCCACCCTCCGATTTCCGGTGGACGTCAAGCGATGTCCGACGGGAATCGCGCATCAAAGGCGCGATCGGCGGTACCGGTGTGTCGACAAGCGAGTTCATAGCTGGTTCCCGCGTTTTTGTCCGCGATCTGCGCGCGATATCGGCTCGCGTAACACGCTAGTTGTTGCCGCGTGTATATTGCATCGTGAAATGCGAATCTGCTGCGCTTACGATTTGCGGTATCCGTTCCCGAGTTCGTAGCGGATTCCCGTGTTTTCGTCCGCGATCTGCGCGCGCGATATCGATTCTAAGCAGTAACACGCGCGAGTTGTTCCTGCGTGTATATTGCATCGTGAAATGCGATTCTGTTGCGTCCGCGATCTGCGCTATTTGTTTCAGTGACATGCGAGTTCGTAGCGTATTCCCGTGCTTTTGTCCGCGATCTGCGCGCGCGATATCGGTTTCCGTGACAGGCAAGATTGTAGCGGGTTCCCGCGTCTTTATTGCATCATGAAACTTGAATCTGCTGCGTATGCGATCTGCGGTATCCCTTCCCGTAAGATGCGAGTTCTCGGCGGGTTCCCGCGACTCCTCCGCACCGTGAAACGCGAATCTGCTGCGTCGGCCACTTGCGGTATCCTTTCCCGTGACACAGGAGTTTGTAGCGAACTCCCGCGTGTTTATCGCATTGTGAAACGCGAATTTGCCATGTCCGCGATTTGCGGTATCAGTCCCCGCGTCACTTGGTTTGTAGCGGGTGCCCCGGCGCTTATCATTAATTTTTGATACAGTTTTGCTGTGGCATCCGTAAAGATAGCCCACCCCATGTTTTTCACCATTTATCTCTTCATTTTGGGTGGGCGTTTTTACGGGATTTTACGGTAGATAGGCCAGCATCCACTTCAGATCAATGGAAATCTTATTATGCAAATAAAAAAACACAAAAAGAAAATGGTTACTGGAATCACAACTCTGCAATATGGGCTGCATAAATCTGAACTTCTCGACAAAAAGAAACTCTTCTTGACAATAAAATTTTGATTGTGGAACGATGTCTACTTGGCGTTGCGGGTTTTTTTTAAGTCCAAAAAAAATATGGTACAGCACAACATCCCTACCTTATGCCACAGAATAAGTCATTCCTGGACACTTCTGTCAAATTATTGAGCAAGAAAACCACACATTACAAGGTTTTCCAGCAAAATCCAGCAAAAAAATACAGTCCAACCAAAGTCTGCATGACCAACGAAGTTCATCCAAACCAAATAAATCAATCAGCCGACCCAAACTGACCATTCAATTGACCTGATGCATATTCAACCGATTAATCTTGCTCGTCGATTGAATAAGCGATTATGTAACCATTACTGACTCGCACTTAAACCGACCAGGCTGTCGGATGAGTCAATTCAACCGACGATAGTCACAGAGAGACAGGGAGAAAGACAGGCCCTGTTGTTGCCACTCTGTCATGTCTATAATCATGTATAGCTATAGACATAATCATGTCTATATCATGTATAGCTATAATCATGTATATTTATAGGACACAAAGTCGAAGGAAGCCGCGCCACTAAGATGCTTACCCTTGTTCTCGAGAGGAGGGGAACACGGGTAAGGGGGAGAGCCTTGCAGGGGCAAAACTGAGGACATCTTGACCGGCGTCCCAATCTTGTACTCCTGGCTCGCGCTGTCTTTCTTGATGCACAAGTAGTCGTCCATGGACTGCTGCATGGCCTCGGCTGCATATGGCAACAAAATGGCGGAACGTCTAGAAACAATGTTTTCTAGATATGTAGAAAGTAGGCCTTCTATATGTCTAGAAAATTTGCCTTTTATACATCTAGAAAAGACATTTTATAAATGTCTCGTGTGACCCAAGACATCTACAGCTCATTTCAGCTGTGTCAAGACCACGGTGCAAGATATACATAGGCGTGCGTGCACACGCGCCTATGTAAGATATGGACATAGGTACGCGTGCGTCGCAGCTGCCAGAAAAACTCTTCTCCCCGCCTAGGTTGAAAGCAGCACCAACAAAAACTGTTCGATAAGCGGCTAGTAGTAGCCTCTCGCGGGCTCGGTTTCCCACACTTTCTTGTGGGAGACCTGCTTAGTTTTAAAGTTGTTTTCTGAGTGTATCGCATCATGTAGAACTTGGCACTTACACAGCACATGTTGCTTAGACGCAGCTTCATCACTGACTCTAGTTTTGTGCCCCAACGGCAACAAGAACAATTTTATGAACGCGTTGAAGCGGGGAGATCTCTGGCACGGTGTTCAAGCCAGTTTTCGTCGAAGTCAGAGAAGATGTGTTGAGCGGAAAGCGTGAGCGTTCGGGTGCCATGGGAATGAGACACTTCTTTGTTTTACTGCAATAGCTGTTATGGATTCTTCCCACTACTGGAAATGACGTCTGTTGTCACTGCAGTTGTAGTTGTTGATGATGATGTTGTAGTTGTCATACTAGGACCTGTAAAAAAATGAACTGTTGGGCTAGTTGGCCACCTTAAATTTGCAATTCTTTAAAAAAAAACAAAAAAACTTCTTGTTTCATTTTTATTTATTGTGGTTCAACAACCAACAGTAAACACTCCTGCGAATTTTCACTGCAATATCTGAAATATTTATGGAGAAATAAAACATTTTTGGTAAGCCGACGCTGCAAAATCGTATGTTTTGGAAATGTGAAACTTCTATGTTTCCTATTTTCTAACAGCTGTAGCTCCGCACCGGTACACTCCAGAATGATCATCATACTCTCGTTGGAAAGAGCATTTTTTCACAGTTTCAGTACCTTAAACATATATGTTCGAGAGTAAACACTATTCGGGCTAGAACGCCATAAGAGTCCAGCTTCCCATGGAAGAGGCTATGCGCATGCCAAAGTTCGAAAAGCCCACCCTGATTGAACAGAAAACTAACTAAAACCAACATTCGTTTATAGAAAGTCACATGGGTTTGTCCGCTTTGTAGTATTTCGATGGTGCTTGCCCCGCCCATAATTGCTGATGGTGGTTCGTGTATTGCGAGCATATCCAATTCCTCAGTCGTTTCATAATCATGTCGCAACAAAATGACACTAGAAGAAAGCGTTTTAAGCTCGGACTCACTCAGCAAGGCCATGCAGGAGATCGGGCGTAAGCAGAAAGCACCACCTATGCTCTTGGTGCCTTTTAGTTGCCACCAGTACCAGTAAAATCAAATGTAGTGGTGTGGAAACTTCCAATGGGTTTTTCTCGGTTTCACTTTTTTGCTGTGGATGTTTCTGAACTAAATTTTAACGAGGAACGTGGCTAGATATTTATCTTTCTATTTAAATGAAGTTCTCATTGCCAAAAAGAAGGGGTTTTGATGAGGAGAAAATGCCCCATTATGTGGAATGCATTTCAAATTGTCATTTTGCACAAAAAATTAATTAAAGCACAGATTTCAGGGTAAAAATTAGATAGCTGCACCGCCCATATGTTCTAGTTACAGCTGAAGCTTAGAAATGGTCAATATTTTGCAGCAATTTTTAAGTTATAGTTTTCCTTGCCAAGTGAGGCGACTTACATTAATAACTGTATACGTCCCCATGTAGCCTATTGGGAAATTGTCCCACAGAGATGAAAGGTCAGAGAGTGCATTTAGGCAACGAGATGAATAGACCCTTTGAATTTCATCAATATTGAGCGACTGGTTCAAAAGTTGACAGTTGAAGGTTGTGTCACCTTTTAAACATTATGGACACAAACAGCGCTAAGGATGAGGAGTAGCAGAAGTGGACAGGACGGATGCTGTCCACTTGAAAATGAGAAGAGGGCAGCATCCGTCCTGTCCCCTTCTTCAATTAGTCCTCATCCTTAGCGCTGTTTGTGTCCATAAAGTCATAGTAAAACAAAGGGCGTCCGTCCTCATATTGCTAACTGCTTGAAAAAAGGCTCGAGGTACACCTAAGCACTTCTTATGAGTTGTGAATGCGAAAGCATGCACGCCGCTCTTCCACTCCCTTCTTCCGTCTGCGGAGTACTTGCGTCGACGGTCGAGCGCACAGGCTGCTCTCGGCGCGCTGACCTTGGACGTGGAGCGGTGGAGCCGCTGCCTCGCGGACACGCAGTGCCGTGGGGTGGCAGTCATTGAAACTTACACGTGGCGGCCAATGGGATTAAAGCCAGAATCCATCAGTTTTACTCCGCTTCTTTGGGATCAGGGAAACTAGGTGCCGTTTGGCTAGGCTTTTCGCGTGATTTCATAGCTGGGAGCTGGCTTCACTTGGAGAAAAGATTTAAGGTGCCATTTGGTGCGGCTTCAAAGCTGATGACGTCGGCTCGCTCCATGGGACCAGTTAATGCTTTCGCATTAAAAGATTGTCCGCCGCTTTCGAGATTTGATCCCAGATCCGCTGCATGTGAAGTGGGTGTGTGACCTCCGAGCTACGGCACAGGTTTGACCATCCTTTTCCCATATGGTATTTACGGCAGAAGCACGCGCATACGAGTTTCGTGCAGTGCCCACTAGATGGCCCAGTTGCTGCGATATTGCGATAGGAAATTTTCTGTCATTCCTTATATAATCTCAAATTTAATCGGAGCTAATTGTCGAAATTAAAAGCTTCGGCTGGGTGGCATGAGCCGCCGCCCCATCAAAAGGGTTCAGCCATATCCATTTGTCTGATACCACCTAGAGGACAGGCCTCCACATTACGTCGTCATTAGTGGATACCTGAGCCGCCCCAGGCGGCAAATGCGCTAAAATGCGACGAGAGTATGGCGCAAAGCGACAGACGCGGGTGTCTCGACATCGCTGCGTGCTAGCGTCGCGCTTCTCGCGAGGCGCCAAAAGACGCGCTGGTGGCAACGCTGAAGTGTCTTGCCGTCCGGCGCAGGGAGAACTGCGAGGTGCGTGCGAGTGAGAACGAAGCCTATGGAGACCTGGCCGTCAAGACCCCATGGTGCGTGAACGCGACACCGATGCCCAACGACTTCACCGTGACGTGTCGGAGCCATCGCTGTGACTGTGAATTTGGTTTGTTTCTCTTTTTCTCAATTGCACCGTCTGGGTGTGCGCCGACGGAACCTCACCTGGTCGATCGCGTCACAACGTTTGCCATATGTGCCGCGTGTCTTTGCCTAAATAGCATCTCACACCGTGGTTTAGAAATCCACGAAATTCAGCGGGCCCTCCCCACCTTTGTCCACGTGAATGACAAGGGGCGTCAGGTGCTCCACCTGGCTGAGGGGCCCCGTGTGGAAGGCTCGATCGAAGGAGGCGAAGAAGCGCCGGAGCAGGTCCGACAGGTGGCGCCGCGACATCTGGAAGCCGATGCGCAGCCCCACCAGGTACAGCGTGTCGGCGATCTTGCGGGTGAGCACGGCCCGGCTGGTGGTGCCGCCCGGGAAGCAGTGGTGCAGGGAAGACGAGAGCTGGACCAGCGGGTACAGGATGTTCTTCAGAACCACTTCCTGCGAGAACCGTCGTGCACCTTGAAGGACGCCTTTTAACCTAGGATACGTTGCAAGTGGGATTCCGTGTTTTCGGAGTTTATTTCTCGTGAAATTTGGAAGGTGTTTTTCGGGGTTTCTTTTTTGCGAACAAACTCGGGGTTTATCGAGGTTTATTTTTGTTAGATTCCCAGTTTTCTGAAATTCTGAGTTTATTTTACCGTGTTCCCAATTTTTTTTAAATTCAAAAGCAAATTAGGTTAAATTTGGGTACCATAACCCATTGTTTCGAAGGAGCCTTGACGAGCTAAGAGGCAAACCTCTTTTGTTAGTACGAGATTTCGAAGCAAACTTAAGTGGCCTTTTTTTGGGACCACTGGCCCTGTGATTTAATTAAGTTTATTTGTAAAACACCATCTGTTTTGTTTTTTATTTTGTCATTCTGACCTCGAAATTCTTAGTTTTTCGGATAAATCTGAATTGACGGAAAATTTACCGGCGAGTGTCTTTTCGATTTGTTTTTAACGATTTATCCGAAAACACGAAACCATAATTATAGGTAGATCATAGACTTTCTGGTTTTGACTGAAACGCACCGATAAACATTTGTCAGTCGCAGAAGTACAGAATCAATTTTAAAGGGATACCGTAAAGTTCCAAAAGAACGCCCAACCAAAATAGAGATAAATGGTGAAAAACATGTGGCTGCCACAACAAAACTATCAGAAATTAATAATAAAAACTTTCAGCCTTTCCACTTTGGTGAAGAAGGAAGAGCAGCGGAGCTGTAGCTTCTGTTCTCGGCGGTAGCTTTCCAGGCGAGCGACCTGCTCTTCTTTCGCAAGGGAATCTGAAGCACTCGACGCAACAGAACTCTAGGCGACAGCAACCTTGCAGTGATTGCGAAACCAATCGCGCTGCTGCGCACATCGCCGCTCGTTCCAAACCGCTCTTCTTCCTCCGAAGAAAGGTTGCCGCCATCTATGAGCGACGGCAGCAACCAGTTCGCTGGTTGCCGCAGTCGCTCATAAATGGCAGTAGCTGTCCAGAGTTCGGCGTCACAATTTCTTTGCTGGTAGGCGTGATCCTGGGGATCCTAGCCCTTAAAGGGGTACGGAAACATAAATTGAAATATTCAGATTTCGTTCGGAAATAAGTCAAGCATGAGGGATAATAACCGTAAATGATAATCGCACGTTTGTATTTTGAACGATTGGCTATATTTTTCGTTCCAAACGGTGCACTCGAGCAAGCGCTTGAAGAGAAGCGAACGGAGAGCGCGATGCGTCATGGGATATCCGGTGCAAACAAAAACAGAAAGAAAAGATTCCCCGCATTCGTGGCGTAGCAAGGCTGGTGAGGTTATGAGCTTTGCCCCTGGTGCTGTTGTCAGCGTTGGGGTGGTGTGAATAGCGTCAGCGCATTACAACCGAGCCGTTCAAAGTACCCGTGGGGTGACGAGTGTGTGGCTGGCCCAAGGAGCACGTAGCTTCCACAACACCGTCAGCTCAGGGCTAAACAGAGTGGGGAAAGCAACTTGTGTTCAAGTTTCGAGCAGCAAGCTAATCTTCTAGGGGGAGAATGACTGTGTCCGGTTGCACGAACGAGGGTCCGAGAAAGAGGGGAGTCCTTCCTTTCAGTCTTCTTGGAACGTCTGCTACAATGTGCGATTTGTGAGTTGAGCTAGGAGGAAAGCTAAGAAGGGAAGTGTTGAAATTCCAAAAAGCGGCGCTGCTTCGAAAAAATCTGCTACGTCATGACTACGTAACAGGTTCCTCCGTTGCTAGATTACGTCCCATATAGGCTCCGCATGCATCCACCAGGTGCACATTGAAAAATCGTTTGTTTAGCTTTAAAATTAGTTTTCTTGTGCCTTTCAACGGAAGACTGGTGTTTTTGAGATTAGGGTGCAACATGCAACACGTTCAAGCTAGAAAATGAGCGCTGGAATTTCGTTTCCCTACCCCTTTAACAGCTCCGCTGCAATATTGAGAGCCCTTCCACCCCATGAACAGGGAAGTTCAGCGAAGCTGGCGCTCTGGTAGAGACAATTAAGTTTTATTATAGCGCAGCTACGCCAATCACAGCGCAGGCTCTAGTGCGCCACAAAGGTGGCCGCTAGAGAGTGCGCGGCATTGCGCAATGTCAGGGGGGAGAGAGACGCTGCGCGTGGCGAGGAGTATACACAACTCGGGAAAGAGGCGGCGGCGGTGGAGAGGAGTATAAAGCGCGGCATACATCGTTGCGTTTGAAAATTGTTAGTCTAAGCTCAGTTTGTCGCCGGACACAATCTGCCAGAACTTAGCCATAGACAGCTTCACTGTAAGACACCCTGGCACTGGCTACAAACCACGTGACATGGGAACTGATACCGCAGGTCGCGGACACCGCAAATTAGTGTTTCACAATGCAATAAACACACGGGAATTCGCTACGAACCCCTGTGTCACGGTAAAGGACACCGCAAGTTGTAGACGCAGCAGATTCGCATTTTAGTGTGAAGAACCCGCGAAAACCCACTGAGAACTCGTATCTCATGGGAACGGATACCGCAGATTGCGGATGCAGCAGATTCGCATTGCACGGTGCAACATACATGCGGGAGCAACTCGCGTGTTACTGGAGACTATACACCGACACGCGGGCTTGACGTCACGGCGCTGCGGCGGCGCTGCGATCGCGCCGGAGCCGGGAAGGTGTGGGCAAAAGAGCGCACGTTTCGCATGGGCGTCATAGCATTTCAGCATGCCGCGAGGCTGTGTTGCCGTTAATCTCACCGAAATGTACAAGAAAAGTAGCGGAGTGAGCTTCTACAAGCTCCCGGCAGACTCTGAAAGGCATAGAAGGTGGATAATATCCGTGGATCAAAAATTATTCTCGCTTCGCGCGTTTGTGCGGCAAGCACTTTTTTGAAGGCAAGTGCGGCTTCCATTTCTATCTCCATCCCGAGGCTTGGTTATGTGCAGGGAAACCGTCGTCTGATCGAGACCACCCGGATTTTGTTCTCAGGGTGTTCGCGCACAAAGCACCGGCCAAGCGCTCGTCGGAGGCTCGCTACGCCCGTGCTGCCCAGCAGAAGGGGATCGGCGACAGAACGGCAGTGTTGTAGGCGTTACCGAAAAAATGTACCGAAGTACGTTACTCGTTACTTGCAAATCAAAGGTACGCGTTACTGAGCTACGTTGCCTAAAATAAAAGAAACGCGTTACCGCCACCGATAAAAAGTAACGCACGTTACTTCTGCGTTACTTTTTAAATTATGATTTAACACGTTTTACGGTTTTGACGATACAGGTATGCATAGCTCATATGTATATCAAGAAACATTATGTTCACGCAGAAACTGAACATAATTACTTTATCTCTTTTTACGGCTTCACCTAAATACTCACGAGAAAAAACGCAAAGAAAAACATGGCTTGACGCCTAAAAACACAGAAAAAATTGAAGTGTAATTGTAGTAACGAGCAACGAAACTACGTTACTTGAAATAGTAACGTAAGTACGTTACCCGTCACTGTGTCGAAAAGTGACGAGTAGGTTGCTACGTTACCGAAAAAAAGTAACGCGTTTCTGGTAACGCCCTTGTAACGTGGGGAGGCATTCGCTTGATCGAATGACGTTTTAGCGAACGCCCACGTTTCATCGAACGACACTTTAGCGAATAGTAGGACGCCGCGAAGCGGCGTTTTCGGGTGGGCCAAGTGAGTTCATATTTTTGTAATGAGTTGCCGCAGACTGTCGCTGCGAAGCGGCGTAAAGTGCAGCGCGACGGATGGGTTAACGCGCGCCCCCGTTATTCGCTAAAACGACCATTCGCTCAAATGTCGCCGTTCGCTAAAATGTCATTCGCTCTTGTGATATGGACCCTGTAACGTGTTACCACCAAGACTGCAGAACGGACAAAGCGTTACTGCTTGTCATGCCTTGTGGTCATGAGAGTAGGAAAAATAGCATACCTTGACTTGAAGACGCTGTGTATATTTTTAAATTAATAAATACACTTCCGCAGACCCACATTCTGCTAATCCCGCCGGCGGTGCGGAAACGAAATCGAAGTAATCGTTGGCCTCGAGAGATTTGTACGCCTGCTCTGTGTCGGCCGTGAACTGGCTGGGCGAAAAAACTAAATAAACGACGACGTGAGCCGTCGACTTCGGTGGCAGCAACTTCACGTTGGAAGTTCAGCAGGCCTTGTTTACGGCGTACGGATCCTCGTAGGCAACGCCGTCCACGCACAGTTTGTTCCGATACCGCCGCCATTAAGGCTCGGGTAGCGAGCTCAGGCATAGCATACGACATACGTTGCCAGGAAACACGACGCACAAATAAAGCTAGAAGCGTCCCTACAACGTCAACAACGAGCGCACGCCACACAACGCAATGGCGAAAACACGGAGAGCCGGGTTGGCCGGGGCGCTTTTGCCCACATAGCTACCGCGCGTGCGCGGCCTTCCGGCCGTGTTGGTAAACAGAGCCGCTCCGCGTGTCGGTCTATATCACGAGCACAGATCGCAGACAAAAATGCGGGATTCCTCTATGACCTCGCTTGTCAGATGTGCCGGTACAGCAAATTGCCCGGTTGATGCGACTCCCGTCGGACATCGCATGACGTCTGACGGGAATCGGGGGGTGGGCGATGTTTCGGAATGTTTATGTTACAGACATTTAGCCAAAAAAATGGGATGGGCGGTCTCTCTGGGGGCGGGCCGCGTTGCGGTGACGTCAGAACGACAAGTTCTTATTGGCTCCGATTGGGGAGATAGTGGGTAGACCTCGATGCTAGCTGCATGGTTAGCTGCCATAAGGGTTACCCACTATCCTTCCAACCAGAGCCAATTAGAGCTCAGCGTTCTGACATCACCACAACCTCTACGAAAAAAGCAGACAAACTTGCACTCTATCTAAGTTTCAGCCGTTTATAGCCATTGCTAATGTAGACATTTGGTAAAAGACGGTTGACCTTGGAATTGGATGCCATTTACAAGTTACATTACACAAACAGCATTATGTTAAAGCAGAAGAGAGTGAAGGCAAAATGAAACCTAAAGAACCATGCAACAAACCTGCAAATGGCTCATGAGTGTTGTGTCTGACAAAAAAGGCAGCACGTGCTTGACAAGCGTAACAGCTCCAATCAGTCCTGCTTCCAGAGTGTCTGTTAGGTGTTTCTTGCACAGTCGTAACTGAAAAAAAAAAAAATATATATATACTATTGCTAACCATTACACCAATAAGAAATGCAACTTAAATTTTTTTTTGCTTCTACCAAGGAACCTGACTGCAGTGAAGTCAATTTGCAAAACAAAATACATAGACTTTACTACATCCACAGCTTTAGTACATCAGTGTCTCAGTTGCCTGTAATCAAATGCCTTCTACCATTGAACCCGTTGACAGTGAAGTGGATTTGCAAAACGAAATTAACTTTACTACATCCACAACCTTAGTACATCAGTGCCTCAGATGTTTGCAATAGGACAGTACAAGCCTAATGGTACCATCCCGTTCCTTTACTGTAAAGAAAAATTGTGGTATGCTTGCAAAGCTAATATAGTAGGCCTTTTAGATGCTGACATAGTGAAAATACTAATGTAGTAATAAGTTTTAGTTTTTCAGGTTGATTCCATTATTGTCTTATGATGAAGTTTGCTCATGTTTGAAAATAAATGTCCCTATCATTGACACTTACAGATGAATAGAAACACACTGCTATGAGTGAAAAGACGGTGAGAGTGCAGGCGAGCTGGTGGTAGCTAATCCAGACACAGAGAATGTGAGACGTTCTCTGTGTCTGGAACAGGCGAGCTGGTGGCAGCAGACACAGAGAACGTCTCACGTTCTCTGTGTCTGTTCCTTCTACTGAAAGTTCTTCCGATTTCTTCCACCGCAGTCTCAGGTGTAATACGACATGTACCGCTATGGTTACTTTATAGGTTCCTTGAAATGGTCAGTGCTCTACTTTTTGTAGCTGTGGTACTGCCAGAGCCTTAAGACGATTGTATAAATCAGCAAGCATTTTCGAAAAATACCAGATCAGCAGCTGTGAATCTACCGTAAATGCATTACTCACGTAAAAATACTGTTTTCGAACACAAGCCGAGGAGAATTTGGGCAGCAACATAGTACTGGAAACATGTTACTAATAAAACAAAATTTTTATAATCATCCCAAACAACATTGCCAAAACTGACTGTTGCCATCAGAAACATGATGAAGGGAACTCGACAATGACAACAATCAATGCAGAGCATGTAACTTCTCACAAGTGACATGCGGTGGAATTTATTTATTTATATAAAAGGCAACTCAGCTCAATTCCAAATATTTCAGGGTAGTGCGTCTTCACACTCAAAAGCGCTAAGAAAACACACTACGTCATTTGCCTCGCAAAAAATCTGATATATATTGTTAAACCTTATTTTAAACACGAGCAGAAATCAAAACAGGACCTTGAGCTACCTCTGGCAACATTGACCTCAGGCCGCTAAGACGTGGCTATCACGTGGTACAAAATGTCACGTGATCCTCTACGCAATGATGGGCGGGATCGGGGCAGAGGTGTACCAGGTGCAAGTGTCATTTGCACCGCACTTTTCACCACGTTTTGGTGTCCACATTTGACGACGTCTGCACAACTGCGGCATATGTCTGCGCAGGTAGTGTTCGTAGCATGAACGAAACTCCGAGAGACAATAATCACAAACGGTGAGATGACGACGACAGCAGTTGTGATGCGGGAGACGGTGGTAATGGCGGGACGGCCGAACGGGCCGGATGGCTCCCAAGAACTGCGCAGGTGCGTTATGCCAATCTCATGGACACCGTTGAGCGCCGAGAAGAAAGGTGGCTGACGTCACCCTTTACGCTTGCCCGGAGAAGTAAAAACAAGCAAAAAGGGGCAATGGTGATGACGTTTAGCTCAATGTTGGCTACGCCTACGCCGTAGCCTTGTCTACGCTGTTGGTTGCACCTCAATTCGCCCACTCGAGTCAGCCAATTTCGGCAACTTGGCGAGTTGCAAAGTTTGCTGGACAGTTTATGAAATATTTGCATAGAACTAGGTCGTAATATTTGACGTGCGGTCTTTCTAGGCAATACTGAAGAGGACTGCATTTTTTTTTTTTTTTTTTCAAGAACAAGAATGAGGCGGAGTTGCCCTTTAGATAGTACCCTCGGGGCTATGGGCATTACAGGGGGAAGCGGGAACAACTCCACAGTGGTGTTCCAGGAAACTGAGCTGATCTCATAGAGTTGGCAATCACTCACCAAGTCTGCAACATGAGGAAGGTACTGGAGGGTGATGAAGCTCTCTCCGTAAAGCATGGCCAGGTTGGACAAGCTGTCGAGGACTCTGGCTGCTGTCTGGTCTCCCACGACCCAGTGCTCAAATAGGCTCACGTCTGAAGCAAGGGGGACACGGTCTTAGGTCCCCTGGAAAACTGGCCGTCCAGCCTTGCATGTGCATGAGACAAACACAGTGATAGAAGCGGCATTTGACCTTTTGTAGCAGGCAAACTGCTGGCCTGGAGCAGCCACTGACGCTTTTGGAGCAGGTGCCAACTGTTACCAGGTCACTTGAAAATTAAAATTCATTTGAATTGCTCAATGAGTTGGTATTTGATAATGATGAAGGGTTCCTCTTTGATACTGAAGCATATTACTTCTTATCTTCTGCAGAAAGAATGACTAGGACGAAAAATGAGCACACAGCCGTCTTTTTTAAAAATAAGGCTGAGCTAAGAGTAGGTTCTATTTAAAATTTATATTTAAAAATTGTTGAAAATGAAGCTGAAGCATAGCGCAACACTTCACTTGCCATAAAGCCCCTCTCCCTTCCCCTTTCACAGTAGATAGCTAATTTAGCTTGTAAATATAATTTTTCTAATGTCAGCAAACATATCCACTAAAGTCCATCAATAAAAGGTCTACCAAGTTTTATGAAAGTTGAACTGAAGATAATATCATAGATGGCGAAAACAACCTCCCACAAATATTATGAAAACCTACTCATAGATTTGTGCTTTGAAAGTGACACTGCGCTTAAGCTGCGTCCGAACCAGAGTTGAGTCAATGTTCACTGCCCTCACGATTGACTGCTGCACGGGGACTACCTTGACTACCAGATTTACCTTTTTCTCCTTTCTCGGCAGAGCTTTTTAAAATTAGAGGTCGGCCTATAGTCAAGACCAATAAAGGTCCACCTTTAATAGCACTGAGCATAATTTCTTCTGAGCCAATCGCGCTAATTTGTGTGCTCCTCCAGGACGGCCGCTGCTCCTAGCACTCCGACGGAATGAGGTGAAGCTCGGTGAGCGCGCGCTGGCGTGAGGCGTGAAGGTTGACACCAGCCGCCCAAGTGCCACGGCCACGGCATGCAGCAGATATATTATCGGGAGTAAAAGATTCTGCTTCTGTCTGATTACAGCAGCTGCCATCCCACTATTTTTCAAATTATTCTCGTAACGTTTAACTTTTGAAATCGCCAACATCCTCTGGAAATCCAGACGAGGATGAGGCCAGCATAGTTGACGAGCGATCTCTACACTTAGTTTCGTCGTAATTCAAAGCACAGGCAACGCTACCAGCCAACGGGACCAGTCGAACAGCGTCAAAAGCGCGACATCACGGCATTCGTCGTCTATCTGAACATTATCTTTTATCGGCTAAACCTATCAAGCGCAGAGAACATCCCTAGGCTTACACTTTACGCTTTTATTAAGTGTGTTCCTGATTGTATGTGTTTCAGTCTTCGATTGTGCTTTGACATATGAACAAACTATACAGTGAAAAGAGATGCTGTGAAATATATATTTGTACTATTTTCGTTTTCTTCTACTTCTCTAAATATTAAAATCATACAATAATAAAATATTTTTACTACTGCTTCGTTTGGGCCCACCTCGGCACAGGTGTGGCACAATTCTTAGCAAGAAAGATGCTTTGGCACAGGATGTAGCAGACTTTTGTTCATGACGCTGTTTGGCACAACTGGTGCAGCACTTCCATCACCACAAACATAACCTTCATACCTCACTTCAACGTCTCTCTCAAGGAAGCAGCCACATTACAGTACCTCCCAGAAATGCTCAGAGTTAAGCTACAAAAGATACTCACCGAGCACCCAGCCAGAATTTAGAGATAATGTTGAAAACAAAGAGGGGATGTGCATTTGCAAGGTTTAAGAGCAAAAATGCAGGAAGGGTGCACAGTAGGGTGGACTTCACCCTTTTACATCGGCACACTCCAAGAAGTGGCTGACGCGGAGAAGCATCTCATTAGCTGGGTAGGCTCAGAAGTCTGGGGTGGGTGCTTCACTTATTGTTCAAACCTCTCAAATGTAGCGGGTGGCCGCTTATTACGACGTGGATGCACGCTCTATATATTACGGCGATCACCCCGGTCGTCTTATAACACCGGAAATACTTGAGGGTGAGCTAGACACCCTGCAACAAATTCCCACCGCTCTCGATGCTATCCTTTAACCTGCACGTCTGACAGAGGAAGCAAGAGAGCAAGATCGACTCTAGATCTAGGTTGCCACATTCCCATCGTAATAGTTAACTATATTTCCCATTGTAACATAGGTGTAAACAAACATATCAATACAGATAATCAAATTGTGTCGTGTGTACGCTTATACTGCGGGAAGTGAGTCAGCCCCGATGGGCGTCTGGTATCCCCGTCGTGGACGAGAGGTTTACCCATTTCAGAACCACCACCAGCCTGGAGTCTTTAACGTGCATTGCACAGTGGGGATACACGACTGCGCACCGGTACGATGCTCATCCATATTAAAATGGGCACAAGTGGAGATTGAACCCAAGGGATCCTGGGTTCTGCAGCGAGAGCTTTCGCCTTGTGGGCTCCAAGCTGCAGAGCGTTACAACGCTCGGCCCCCGATCCTCCTAGAAGAAATCGGCAGCGCCTTTGACACGAAGCAGGCGAACCAGGCATATTCAACCAGACCTGATCCAGCTCGGCCCGGCCCATCCTACCCAGCCACCAAACTCACCCTGCCCGATTTGACACAACACAACCGGACTTCGTCCTGTTCTACTGAACTTAATCCAACCCAGGGATGGGCAAAATACATGCAAATATGTATCGAAATACAAATATAAAATACTTCATCAAAAATGTATTTAATTACAAATCTAATTACATTTCCAAAAAAGCATTTAAATACAAGATACAAATACAACCAAACGTATTTGGTCTCCTCCGAATACTTTTCCAAATACATTCCTCAAAATTTGCGTCAGCGACTTCAGGGCACCTGCAATGGGTTTCTGGGTATCTCATTTTAATTTTGCATCGCACTCTCGGGAGTTAGTGTGCGAGGCTCTAGTAACGTAATAGAAATATAATAAAAAAATGTAATCAGCTTGGACGTAATAGATGAAAAAAGTACAGAGCTTCAAGCAGCTTTTTTTGTCGATTACATTTTGGTATAGACCACCAAAGAACCGAGACGACCAAGACGCACAGCACTAGCTAGAGATTTTTTTGTTGTTGCAACTCGCACCAGTTACGAACATCTGGACGACCTGCACATTTAGAATGTTCCAGGCAAAAATATGGATGGAAATCAGGCTGGAAAGCATGACAAGTTGTTACAGGCACTTATTTAGCCAGCCTGCCAGTGAACGACGATTTCGTCACTATTCTTGCCATGGACCAGCACCGTAATCACAAAGTCACTAAACGCTTGTGCTTGATTGAGAGACATCGCATCCGGTGCAGAAAGTAGTTTTGTCCCTGCTCTGGACAGAGACAATAAATTTGAGGGATGTATTTTCGCCCACAAAATTGTATTTAATTACAATTGTATTTGAAATACCCACGTTTTAGTATTTAAATACACACGTCAAATACAATACCCAATTTGTAAATAAATACAAATGCAAAATACACAAAGTATTTGAAATACGTATTTCAAATACTTGTATTTGAAATACTGCCCATCCCTGATCCAACCTAATCGAATCGAATCCTCACCGCCGTCGGCTGGCGGTCCCTTGACCCTGCAGAGTTGCTGTGGTCCCAGGTAGCACAGTGTGAGCATGCGGAGCAGGTTGCGGCTCAGGTGCTTGGCTGTCAACACCGGTCCCAGCCGATGCGCGAGCCACACCACGCTTTCGGCCGCCACGTCGCTCAAGCTGCAGTTTCCGCTCACGGAATCTTCCGATGACGTGGCCTCGCTGGCTGGCTGCAACCATACAAAACTTTGCGATCAAATCCATCGCCGACAAAACTCGTTTTTTGTTCGACAAACAAGTCGAACAAAAGATGAGCTTAAGGTGCCCTAGGGCTCTTTATGTAGGCCCTATAGGTACTTTAAGCACTGCAAATGAACACTGGACTTTTTTTAATGCGTCAGCATTAGTGCCCTGGTCCATGCACTGACCTTGGACTGGTTTGGATCACACATATATAAAGTTTCCAACGTTGCCACAGGATGGCACCACAGCCCCACTGGCTGTGGAAACTGTGGCGATAGGACGCATAGCAACGAAGGCCGCACTGGACTGACTGGGTATAGGGAGCGACACCGTGACGTTACACGTAGTATCCGAAGATGGCCGGCGACGCCCCCTTCGCGAATTTCGGCGCCGCGTAGTGGGGGACGGCGGGAGTATGACCGGGGCACGTGTCAACCCACCCCAGCCTCCTTGTTCACGCCACTTCGCGGCGGCAGTCTGCGGATAACTTATTGCAAAATATTAACCCACCTTGGGCCACTCGTACACACCACCTCGCAGCGCCATGCCGACGGCCAAAGTACGTCCTAGCCCCGCTGTCCCCCACGGCACCTTGGTTGCTAGGTGTTACGTCACGCCGTCGCTCTATATCCAGCTAATCCTGTGCAGCCGCCGTCCTTCATATACACCCGATCTGGATGCGCCAGAGAAAAGGGTTTCGGGAATGTTCACCCTGTGGAAAAGTGCCAAGAGCTGCATTCACCAGGCTTTGTTGTATATAACCGCTGTCCAAAATGCTAATGCATTTCATTGAGAATCAGTGTGGCAACAGCAGAAATTTCAGCCCCCCCCCCCCCTTTTTTATTCTTATTTTGGTGTTGTCACGCACGAAATGATGCAGAACTTTGTCTTCTTTTTTTCTGTGTTTTACAGCGATAGCTGTTATGGGCTCTGCCTACCACTGGAATGTCCACCGTCGGTGTTGCCATATCCTTGAAAAAGATTGCCCACCACCCGCGGGAATCGAACCTGGGTCCGCTGCGCGTGAAGCGGAGGAGTTACCATTGAGCTACGCCACGGCATTAACAACTGGATCTCTACTTAGGGTTTTAGTAGTACCCGACACCCACTGCCATGCACTCTCTAGAAAAAAGAATATTCAATAACAAAATGCCATTGTAGCACCGTCAATGCCAAGAGCTCGTACCAAAAGACGCGCTTTCACGCGCTCCGGAAAAAAAACAAGAAAAAAAAATTGTTGAGAACCAAATGATTGGATGTCTATTTTGCTCCGACCGCTTTTGTTCGCACACCCCAGCGTACGTGAACGCAACACCGATGCCCAACGACTTCACCGTAACTTGTATCTGCTATTGCTGCGACTGCACTGGGGATTTAACACGGGACTGCTCAATCTTATTTTATTTTCGGATTGCTGTTTTTTTGTCAACCAACGTTAGGGCTGCCATGTTCATTAATTATTTTCTGTGCCCTACCTGGCTTTTTGGTTTTGTAATTTTTGTTCGCAAGACTCCGGGATATTCCAGGTCCGTCCCGAAAACCTTTCGAGATCAGCTGTGATTATATGCATTGTGCCTCTGGAAGTTTACTCCACGACCAGAAAATCTGATGTACACTTCTTCGACATAGCCAAGTTTGAGTTAACACGGGATTACTGTATACAACATTCTGGACGATAGATATGGGCAATTTACCTCGACGTTTGCCGGAAGAGCAGACGACATAGAAGGGGTGCTGGTGATCGGTGCTTCTGCATGTCCCTGAGAACTTTCAGCCAGACCTCGGTTGGGCTCTCCTTCCTGCCTTGGGGGCCATCTTGGCATCCTCATGAAGCCCATTGAACTTTTTGGCTGGGAAAAACACTTATGGAGTTATTTATTCGTTCACAAAACTGTATGTCCGTTCAGAGCGTTTAGCATGGTCAAGAGCAGTGCGAGGCGATTGGTTAGAAAATGGTACAATCCCTCAGTCACCAGAAAAGGCAGAACAGCGTGAAAAGAATGAAGGCAGAGATTGAAAAGCTAGACTGGGCAGGTGCTGGCCTAAACCGGACAAGCGGCGTCCTGCTAGTTCTCTGTTCTGCTGTCTTCATTCTTTGCAGGCTTTTTTGCCTTTCTGACGATAAACCAACTTGCCGAAATTGCCACACTGACCCTAGACTACATCTTACTCCACCCAAGATAATGCACCCTCACAAAACACGTCCCACAACAGTAAAAGTTGGAGGCTTTAGTCACTGACAAAACAAACAATGGGCATGGCTCGTCAGGCATCCTTATTGGCTGATGCTGCATCCTCACTGGCTACGGAGTGATAACACGATGCTCGGGAGGAAATTAATGAGCCAGCGATCAATGTCCAAACTGTGCTACAAACTGCAAATTTCAAAAATCAAAACGAAAAAACTTTTTTTTTGCCAACTTACGGAAATTTTGGCCCACTAAAACACACCTTTCCACTATTGGAAGGTGTGTTTTACCCTTCCCTCCTCCTCCTCAAGAGCTGTGCTCTAACTCTGTGTTTCAGAGCTTTGTAAACGTCTCATATTCTTAGGTAATTCATTATGACGAGAGATGAGGATGCTGTTGTCCGGATCAAAGAAAAGAGCAACCGGCAAGTTGGTGTTCTTTCTGTTCTATGTCCGAGGCGTGCGAGTGTCACGCGCCACCAGCACATCAACTTTTTATTTCTTTAGTAGGCTAGCGCTTGGTTCTTGTGGAATCTGGTCACTACGTTGTATATGAGAAGATTCTATGCACGGACTAGGCATGGACGCAATATCTATGAAAGAACTTTTTTTTTTTTTTCAGCCAAATTTTGCTCCTGCGGACTATACTCGAGGTGCGGATTACAGTTGGAAAAATATGGAACACAGCAGACAGAATAAAAAACAGCACACTACTAAACAAGGAAAGAAAGGAACACAGCAGCGCTTGCTTGTCGAGCAGATTTAGTTGCGCGCAGTTAGATGTCGCATTTTCAAGCAGGCGTCGCTATGCGGCGACTCACCTCGTCGTCGTCGGCGAAGGGCGGCGATTCCGTGTCGGCTTCGAGCTGGAACATCTCGGGCTCGCCGGCCGGAACCGGTTCCGGGGAGTTTGAGAGGTCGTTGGAATCTTCGTCGGTGTAGCACGCCTGGTCCAGCCGAGACGGAGACGGATCCCGCGACCTCAGGCTCGGCTCCATGAGGGGCTCGTAGTCGGAGGAACTCAGGTGAGAGCTCTTGCGCGGAATGGTGGGATGTTGGGTGTCCCTGAACCGCGACCAAGCGGGATTTATTTAAAACACTGCCACAGCAAACAGTGCCCCCATGGCATTCAAGGCCCCAACCGTGACTTTAATAATGTTTTCCGAAAGAATGAGGGTGCCAAGGAATCAACAGCATGCAAGGGATCCTGCAACTTCGAGGTTGGCTCCGTATGGTGCTCGAAGTCGGAGCTACTTGGGTGCGATCTCTTTTATGGCACCGCGAGATGAAACGAAACTAGGACATAAGAAAAAAACTAGTGCACGGACAACTCACGGATTTTGAGAGGCGGTGTCGCGGTACCCTCCGACGGCTTCGACGAGAAGAGTTGTGAAGTACTGAAGAAAGGTCTTTAAGCCCAATCGTACCTGCAGCAAATTAAGAAGCTATTCTTACTGCTGGTAACAGAAGTTCAATAGTCACGGCAATACGATGCTCAGGAATTGCCATGCCCCGTGTTTGTTAAGTTGTTGTTAAACCGTTAAGTTGTTGCTAAGTTGTTAAAAGAAAAGCCACGCCCCGCATTTGCCTCTTCGACCGATATAGAATATTCAGCCCCCTGGCCTCGTTCTTTGGGAGGCATTGCACGGCCACGCTCAAAATGGCGTCGTCTGCCGGGAAGAGAAAGAGGGAAGGGGTCTTTTTCCCCTGGAGAGGAGGAATTGGCACGTTGAAAGAAATTTCGCATCACTTTTCCATACAAGGCAGCTTCACGTGGCATGCTTCCGACTTGAAGTCTTGCCGGATGCCATGTTGATGAACACTTTCCGGATGTCTTCTCATGTGTGGAGGCACTGTTTTCCAGCTCAGTCAAGCTCTTTTGCGTCACGATCGATGGCTTCCGCCGAAGCAGTCGGCGACACAAAGGGGCATCGCCTGGTACTCGATTTTTAAGCATACCGGTCTTTGCACGGACTTAAAGGGTTACTGAAATAAAATTCTAGCGCCTGCTTTATTGTCTAAATGTCAACCGCGTTCTGGTCACAGCACAGAGACACTAATTTTTTGTTTGAAAATACACCGAAACATCTTTTTGAATGAATAAACCGATTACCAGACTGCACCTGATGCATGTTCTCAAAGCCAATACGAATGTCGTTATGTCCTCCTTCCCATAAAAGCAGCGCCGCTCCACGGAAACGTGGCGGCAAGCTGCACGAGCGCGATCCCTGTCGAACTAGGTTGAACCGGATTAAAGTTCTCTCTCACACCTACTTAAATCCTGCACGGAGTGGTGAAAGGAAAGTTTGAAACAGAGGCGAGTAACTTTTTTTTTTTTCCCCTCCACTGACCAGTTGTTGGGCGTTTCAAACAGCCATGTTGAAAAGCGTCGATGCCGCCAGATGGCAAAGCTCGCAACCACCCCAGTCTACCCGTAGCCTCGCCCGCGAAAGTAAACTTGACGTCACGGACGTGCCAGATCTCCCGAGGCGCATCGCGCTCTCCGACGGCTACTCTTCGATCGCTCGCACCAAATCGGCCATTGGGAACGAAAACTACAGCCATCCGTTCAAAGTATAAACATGCGATTGTCACTAGCAGATTTCGTTGAACAAGTTTAACTTTTTTCTGAACATGCAAGGTAGGGTATATCTAAATTTTCATTTCAGTATTCTTTTATTCTGGCAATCGGGAAGTCGACCCATCGGTAGCCATAAAGACCCCGGTAGATGCCGCCTGGGTACCTCCGAAAGGAAAAAATTCGGAATAAACTCTAATTTATGCTACCCAAATATATCCCCAATCGCACTCACCAAGTCCCGCCGTCAATGAAGCCATTTGCCGTGCGTCCGCGTTTCACCAACACCAAAAACAAAGGCAATAACTAAGCTTTGCGTGTAAGGAAACAGCGCGAGTGGCAGACTCCGTCGATCGACGTGGCAGAACGTGGCTTTCCAAAAGGGGGAAAGCCTTAGTTTCAGCCATCATAGTTTCAGTTCCTCACCTGAAGCTTAAGAAGGAAAGACCGGTGAAAGAGCCTCAGGTGGCGCGTGGTTGGCTGGTCAGTTGACATCAGGGCAACCAGCACCCCGAGGAGGCGTTCAGCCAGCGCGCGGGGCCCCAGGGCGGTGCCCACGAGGTCGAAGAGCTGCCAGACCGCCAGCAGCGAGGACTCCCTCTGGGAGAACAGGTCGCTCAGGTGTCCCATCACCAGGTCCAGGTCCTGCCGACTCAGCCTGGTGAGCAGGTTGGGCAGCGTCCGGGAAACGTGATTCACCTAACATACAAAACGTAAGTGCATGAATGAGCCGGCGCTGATTCAACGTAATTACTTAGGCACCTGGAATATGTCTCCGCCTGGTGTGTTAAGCGTCCTATTCCGCCTAGAGCCACTATAGGAGCTACGCTTACAGTATCAGCACTTTGTTCCCCAATATTGTTGTGGGTGCCACCATCTTGGTTTGTATGCAGAGCAGACGCAACTGCCGATCGTTGTGGTTCAAAAGTGCGACCTCCTCAGCATTATAGTTATAGTTATAGATGATAGGAAGCTCATGTAATATTACTTTGCTCTGTCGCGAACTGTTTAAACATTTCTGGAGGGTGGAAAAGTGTTTCCTGTGATTTCACATAAAGCTTCAGATAACTGGCAACCATGATTTTAAGCCACAATATGGGCAAATGTTGTTACTCTGAAGCGTAGCTTATTTAGTGGCACCAAACAAGGTCATACGCGACTCCGGGGGTCCAATTTTGGTCAAAGTGAAGGCAAGAGCGTTCCAAGCTGTGGATTGGATGCGGTGCACACCATGCACGTAATCAACCAATGAGGCATTTTCGACCCATTTACGAGTTTGCAGTCTGGCAATATGTCGGCGACGTTTCACCGACGTTCGCAGCCTCCGATGCGCTTGTCCTTAGTGCCCCTTCGTCCGTCGGTCAATGTCGACTCGTGTGCGGCAACAGAACAACCGACCGAAAAAGAAAAGATCCTTCTTTTGGTTTTTTTCTCCAAACTTGAACAGACAATGAAACCGGGGGAGGATGAGGAGAAACCCCAAAATGCAAGCTCCAGGTCAAACTTGAAGAAACCTTTTTGTTTCACGGCCCAATCCTAAGAAAGGCTTGTTCGTAGCATTTTAATATTTAGTAAGTATAAGGACGGATTTCTTTCTGACGTTGAGGCACTACCGAACGCGCACAAAAACCCACCTTGTCGGAGGCGCTCGTCAAGGCATCCAGCGTGGACAGGAACTCGTAGAGCGCGGGGTAGTGCGTCGGAAACGGGATCGTCGACAGGAGCGGCTGTAGCAGCTGATGGGCGGATGGCGGCGGCAGCCCTCCCTCGCACACACAGGGGTAACGCCACTCTGGCTGCGCACCCCCCGACGCCGAACTGCCCCCCAGCAAGGACAAGTGGGTGGGAGGCTTCTCTGTCTGGAGCAGCACCCTCACTGCATTCTGCAGGCACCTAGAAAGTCGAGGCAGAGGTTAAGGCAGGGGCCTACAAACGGTTCGGTCTTCAGCAAATCCTAGACACCATAGAGGAAAACTAAAGGCCCAATCACACACGCAGTGCAGTGGCGAGATATTGCATAGTCAATGCTGCGTCAGCATCAGCGCTAGTGTCTGCGCTAAATCGGCAACGATTTGACGCTGCACATGTGCGTAAGCGGGAGAGGGAGGGGTTACGTGCGGCGGAGCATTGATACACTGCCGATGTAATACAAAGTAGGCGCTGCATTTGTGCACCGAATCAGCGGTGCACTGTACACATGTGACCTGTGATGCTCGTGAAATTAAATGTACACTCACTCTTTTATTTTAAATTTGTTTTTCTGTGTTTTATACACGAGAGGCCAGTTTGAAAATCTAGTGTGTTAGTGCACAACAGCCACGAAAGCTCTTTTTTTTTCTTTAATCTTCACTCCTACTGGTTTTGCCATGGACAAGCATAAGAGTGTAAATAGTAAAACCTCTACATAAAAAAATAAAGAAATTATGTGAGCTTGACTATGCTGACAAAGACTGGATGTGTAACAGGCCTTCCAGGGAAGAGAAGAAGGGTGTTTGACGGCACCACCCACCGAACATTTGCAGCCATTTTCGACGCACGCCGCAAGAAGGAGCTGCACAACAGGAAAGGCTGTGAAGCGCGTGACTGCACCTTCGTGAGCTGCACCAATTAGTTTGCTTTTGTGTGCTCCTACCACCATCCCCGGATAGCTCAATTGGCAAAGCACTGGACTCTCACTCTCAAGGGGGTGAGTTCAAATCCTGTCAAAGGATGAAGTCCTTTTATATGGATCCCTATTGGCGTAACGCATTTCGGTGTCGGATTTTCGTTACAGCTGGCTGTTACAGTCAGACATTACAGAACTCCAAGGAAATCAACTGATAATACACATTGTGTTAAAATCGCCCGGCTTGGACGTTCCGTCAAGATCGAAGGTGTGATGGCACTGATTTGCCGTGCCTACCCTACCAAGCAGTGAAGTGGAGAGAGGGGAGCTCTAGCGCACCCTCACAGCACAACGCTGTTGATCATGCTCACCACGACGTCAACCAGCACCTGCACATCACCACTCTCCGAAGGCCCCGCTACGGTGCAACCGACACCAACGTGAGCAAAAAATGCCTGGCCTGTTTAAGGTTCCTATATACAGCCGTCGCTTTGTGACTCCGAAGTTCTAAAGCGAATTCGGACGCCATGTTTTTACGCCACAAAATGAGCCAACGTTTGAACGTTAAAAGCTAGGGCAACGATACGCAGATTAAAATACTTGTAGTCCTTCCTTTGTGGCAAATTTAAGCTTAAAGCTGATACTTATATCACATTCTCCTCTACTTGATCGTCCAGAAGCAATCATACCAAATATATCCAGCCATAAAAATTTAAACGCAATGTTACAAGATATTCATTTTTTCTTCGGGCAATGCAAGGGTGAAATTTGCTAGATAATGATGTAGTAACACTTTCTTCAATTGACAAACTTACTGATGTCATTAACAACATTTTTTATTAAATCACTTTTGTGTGCATTTTTTGTTTTGCATATTTATTTAGACCGCTCTTGTGTGCATGTCTTTTTTTTATGTATATTTCGTCACTGCACATTACTCCTGCCCGAGGAATAGCCCACCTGAAATCGAAAGCAAATTGGGTGAAAAGGAAGAGTGAGTTAACTTTCGGCATGCAATAAAAAAAGCAGAAAACTGCTAGTTTCAAATTCTGTGAACTGCTAAACTTGTAATCGCAGGGAGGAACGACAAACCGAATTCGACTGCCATTCCCAGTCAGCAATGTTTGCTTATCTCTCGCCATGGCTAAGTAGCACCATTTCTGCCGACGTCCCCATCGGCCACGGCCCCAGAATAGACCCTTTCCCAAATTCAGCCAGGCCACTTTGATCACTATTATCCTCTGAAAAATGGCACATGTGCTATACTAATGGCCGCCTTCTGTTCACTGATGAAGGAAGAAGTTGAAGATACTTTTGAGCAGATGATTCGAGGCTTCTACATTCGAGACGTCAGCACGATGCGAAGCAGGAATGGGATGCAAGAGCTGCGTAAGCATTCATTTCTGATTCGAGCCCAGTCAATCTGTTAGTAGCGCACATTCCACTCCAAAGTCCCTTGATTTACCAAGGCGTGTATGTGGATTGGCACTTCGTTCTGACTGGTTGCATTTTTTTTTGCCATCGACACTGACAGAGATTGGGAAAGAACTGTACAGTGAAGCGCACATTCTCGTTTGCCGGACTTGCGAAAGAGATGGAGCCCAGTAAAATACTGCAGACTACAGATTCATTGCTGCCGTTAGTACGGTAAAAGTTAAACTGCCATTTGAGCCACGCTGAATTCCGGAAAGGGTCTATTACTAAAAGAGAGCTATCTCTCTGTGTTTTTGAAAAAAATATAGCAAATCGTGCCAAAAATATGGACAGGCCATCTTTTGGGGGTGGGGCATCTTTTGGAATAGTTTTACAATAAGTAAAAAAAATATTATTACCGTATTTACTCGCACAATGAACGCACTCGCGTAATGAACGCACTCGCGTAATGAAGGCACCCCTTAAGTCGGCTCTCAAAATTTCGACTTTTTTTTTCACTCGCGTAATAAACGCACCGGACGTCAACGTCAAACGCGCGCGAAATGAACGCCCTTTTTTAGCCTGGTGCAGCGAGGTCGCAAATGCATGGGCAGCGTGGGCGAACAAAACGCCTTGCAAAAGGCGTTAAAAAAAATTCGCCAAGATCCAGCCGAAGCAAGAAAAAAAAACATGGAGGAGCTTTTTTTTTTTTGCACAGCGCAGTCTGGACTTTGGGTTCGCGCGCCGCCACGCGCAAGGAGGTAAAAAAGAGAAGCGGAGAAGCGCACTAAGCGAACGAAACAGCAGCTTGCGAAAGGCGGCAAAAAGAAAATAAAAAAACACAGAACTAAGAAAAAATAAAACAAACAAAAGCTTTTTTTTTCTTTTTTTTTTTGCACAGCGCAGTTTGGTTACGGGGCGTCGCGCGCAAGGAGGTAAGAAAGAGGAGCGGAGAAGCCCTCTAAGCAAACGAAACAGCTTGCGAAAGGCGGAACTGAGAAAAAAACAAGAAAAAGAGGAGCTTTTTTTTTTTTTTTTTTTTTTTACACAGCGCAGTTTGGTTACGGGGGGTCGTGGGTCGCGCGCAAGGAGATAAGAAAGATAAACGGAGAGCCTTCGCCTAAGCAACGCCTAAGCAAACAAAACAGCTTGCGAAAAAGACAAGGAACTAAGAGAAAAAGAAAACAAGAGTTTTTTTTTTTGTTTGCAGTCTAGTTTGGTTACGGGGTCGGGCGCCGCGCGCAAAGAGATAAGAAGTTACTTGGATTTTTCAGGATAAAAGGTCGGTTCATTATGCGAGTAAATACGGACACAAAATTTTTACTTCGCGTAATGAACGCCCCCTAACTTTGCATCGATTTTTCGGAAAAAAAGTGTGTTCATTCTGCGAGTAAATACGGTACTAATTAAATAATAACAAAGCTAGTAGACATAGCATCACTATAGCCTGTTGCAGGTTAAGGAAAGCGAGACAATCTCCACCCACAAAGCCCTCCACTCTCTACTTCAGCAGAGGAAATGCTGGAGAGGAGGCAAGCCAAGAGGAGAAAAGCACCAATTGTGACGAGTAGAGGCCTCTTTTGGGAAGAGCTTTTCCGCTCTTCTAAATTTGCGAAGGACCATAGCCAACTGCCCATTCACGGCAAAGACGTCGGATGCCACTCGAAGGCCGACCAATCTCCCACCACCCACGCGTCCGCGTGACGAATGCGGCCTTCGTCACGGCGGGACTCACTTGGGCAACTTCATGGGGTACAGCTTCTGCACCTGCAGGGCGTGCACATAGCGCTCGGCAAGCTTCCTTGAGGCATGCGGCGAAGCGGCCGAGAAGACTGACATCTCCACCAGAAGGCAGCCCAGCAGGTACATGTCGGCAGCGTGCGACGTCGGACTACGGTGTCGTCCGGCGGAACTCTCGCTTTCTGCGTCTGCGCAAGCCTTAAGAAAAAAAAAGAGAAAGAAGAACTTCTTAAGAAGGAGGCTTGGGTGAGTTGGCTATTCATGACTTAAAGGTAGCAGTGCAAAGGTAGCCAAGCAAATATTTATGTTTTACACATACCATGTGTACACACGATTTACCGCAAACCAGGCTGATAAACCTGGCGATCTTCCAGAGCCTTCCACAGTCACGAGCTCTTCTCCGTCAGCGCGTACAGGTGGTAGAGTTCCTTCTCTTCTACAGCTCTGGTCACATGACAACCCCTTTAACCAATCAGCGTTGAGCACTTCACTCCTCCTCCCCCCACCTGTCAACCAATCAGTGTCGAGCCTCGCAGCCGTGTTGTAACCAGGCTTCAATTTTAAATGGGCTTTACGAAATGCCATACACTTAACCAAATGCTTCACATTAATAAATAAATAAATCTACAGCATGACTGCTCAAAGGAGCATTGATCTGTGGCACGACGGTTCTTGGTTCCCATCAAAGCCCCTAGACAGATCTAGGAACCCAAAACTGACAGAGCCCCAACAGAAATAATATCAGACCTGATTCGATTCTGTCGCAACAATAGAGGGTGGCAAGTGATGCGGAGGGTGATGTAGGCAGAATGCACAAAGAGACTCCACTTGCTGCAGCTTCATGAGTGGACTGTAGTCTTTCGGCAGCACTATGACTTGGGTTTCCGCCGGCACTGGCGCAGGACCTGCACTCAGTTGTTGTCCCACTGACCTCGACCTAGAGTGAGCATTGCAGAAAACTGGTTGCCGGGGAAATGTGGGGCAAGCTTATTTCGTCTTCAACAGACACTCATCAAAAAAGAAGATGCATCTGAAGTTTGCAAACTCACTTTACAATGTTTGTGGACTTCCGGCGTGTCTGGAACACTTCTAGGATCCCTTCGTCCTCGTTATCTTTGGTGTCCTGTTGCAAGAATCGAGGATCATAAAGTATTTATTGAGATTTAAAAATGTCTCTTCCAAGAGCACCAACCCAACTGGAACACCCACTTTTTCTCGAGTCAAGAATTGACCACGACTGCTGCAGCGCATTCTTGCCAAGGGGAAAGCACACTCAAAAGGGCTAAACAAGGTTTTTGCTAATGTCACTTTGCCGCAGTGCACAGGTGCCAAGCGGGAAGCGCACTTAATGGTCAAACCAGATTTTGCACTAGTGCTGCTTTGCCACAGTTCGCTTGTGCAAAGGAGAAAATGCACTTAACGAAGCCAAACCACATTTTCCCCAGTGCTGCTTTGCCACAGTGCACTTGTGCAAAGGAGAAAGCACCCTCAATGGAGCTAAACCAAATTTTCGCTAGTGTCACTTTGCCGCAGTGCACTTTAGTGAAAGGATAAGTGCACTCAATGGAACTAGCAAAGTTCTGAAAATATTCTCATTTACAAAAACTATATCCAAACTTTAAAACTTTTACAATGCTGGAATTCTAATTGAAGGCCATATAGAATATTTCAGTATTCAAACCAATACTTGAAAGCTTGGAATATTCACACACACAGCCAAGTAAACATACAAACCTCCATTTCTGGATATGTTTTTGATGCACAAATTGCAATGCTTTCTCATGCAAAGGCAAGGCTCCGAATTGCAAATGAAAAATTTGTCACCTCCCGAGAATTCGTAAACAGAAGTGTAATGACAACCTTCTCCGAAAATGTCAAGATCTAAAAATTAGGCTTACGACACACACCTCTTTCTCAGAGCCATCTTGGCGTCCCTTCCTTCGAGAAGATGTGCTTGATGTACTTGAATGTTGCTGTGAGTACAGTGCAGAAAGGTTTGGGTGGAAAGATCTCTAACAAAATGCTGCTAGACTTTTTTCTTATTTGCTGCAAGCTGATGAAAGATGTTCCAAGGCATGTGAGCCCCTTCTGCACATGCAAGCACATTGCATTCCTTTGCACACAATTACAACAATGCCAATTTTAAAAGAATGTTTAGCACACTAGCAGAACATCCAATGAAGATACAAACTTTGGTGGCAAGTCTTAATCTTTCTACAAACAAGTGACTTCTGAGAGAAGCAGAAAAAATGTACTTATATATCTATTTCTTGGTGGAATATTTAAGGCAGGTTTCAGTGAGGAGAAGAGCCTTGGTGCTTTGAGAATCTGTAGCAACACTAGAGTTTACCTTGATGAAATGGCAGTTCTATCCATTATATTTATTAAAAACAAAACTTCACACAAAAACAAAATCCAATTAGTTGAAAAGGACATTGAGACAGCATAGTCAGTACGCTTGGCCTCAGCCAAATTGGATGAGCATCACACTGGCATGCGCTTCCGTAATCACTAATGTGTGATAGACATTAAGGTCCCCTAAATAACAATCATACTACGCTACTACAGCGTGAACCAGTGTCGTCACACCTCAAGGGCAGACTGACTTCACACTTTTTTTTTTTAATGTTAGTCCACTTTGCATCGTCAGAATTTCTATCCCTGCTTGGAGAGTCAATTTAGGCCATGCACTGTACATAGGGCATTCCGCCAGTGACTAGAAACACACTGGTACAACACTGGCCCATCTAAAAAGAACCAGGATTGAGAATCGAACCCACAACATCCAAGTCTGCACTGCAAGCTTTCGCCCTGCAAGTTGCCAAACTGCAGCCAAGACGTATCGAGCCAACGATGAGAATTCTTACCCGGAGTAGAGGGGATCCAGACGAGGACGAAGTATGCTGCAGACGAAACGTCTTGGGTGGCGAGAATCGGGAGTGGTACAGGCTGGGTGCCGCCCTGTGCGGATGGGGAACAGTGAAGAGCTGCACCACGCCACAGCTGTGCAATGAGGTGTGGCCGTCCACCAGGGGTAAGCAGACATTCTTGCTTTTCACTGCTGCAGCTCCAGTCAGCTGAACATAAAAAAAAAAAATTCACGCCACCTTGGTTTTTTAGAATAAATTGCCTAACTTGGACATTCCCTTGAATACAATGAAGGGGCAGTAGTACTTTACAGTGTTTTTACTGAGCAATGCTTTGTGGTCGGATTGATGTGCATCCCGGCATGTGGTGAAGGAATTGCAAATGTACAAAGGATATTGTTCCTTTTTCATCCATACACATCTTCTTTGGGGACGTTGCACCATTGCTTCTCAAATGCCGCCATGCAAGCAATATGACCGTGAAATGCCTTCGCACCAACTAGATTATTTTGCTAACACGCAGTTCCCGTTTCTATGTGCCAAAGGGGTAGGCTCCGACATTAAACCATGAGAGAGAGTGTCAGCCACGGGAGTGTCGGGCCACGAAATAGAGAGAGTGTCAATAATTCAGATAAACTCAGTTTCTGATGCTCTCCCTCAATGCCTTGCTTGCTACAATCAGAACAGCGTGAGCAAGGAAAGTTCACAGAGGGCTCCCATTGAAAGCCTTTCAAGATTCTCTCATTGTAAAAGATCATAAGAACACGGTCGTAAGCAAACATAAGTGTGTGAACTGGCCTTTACCACGACACTAAGTTGTCCCCAGGGTAACCTCACCTTGTATCCGAAGGTGATGTCGATCCAGTGGTGAAGGTGTTCGGACACTCTCTCGCTCTCGAGAGCCCCCATGTGTCGCCGAACAAAGTCCTCGGGGCTCGAACACCATGGCGGAACTTCAAGGTCCGGAAGATCCTCGTGGATGGACTTGAAGACCGTCGGATCCGTGAAGAACTCTGGGATGCACTCGTTCGGGGACCATTCCTGCGTGTGATCCGCAAACCTGATCCAAACTAACACTAGTCTGCATTTTAACGTCCTGGCAACTGGCTTCTTTGTGCCAGCAAAAAGAAGCTACCTTGAAAGCCTTAGAAATCCATTCAGTTGAGTATAGAAAAGCCGACCCCTATGTTCAACCACTACAGCTAACAAGTTCCAATTTCACGGAGGATTGAAAGTAGCAGACATGTCAAAGTCATTGTACAGAACTACAACCAAAACGACCCTCCTCCAAGTTTTTGGTGATCAATATAATGAGAAAAGGTTTGGAAAAAAAATGGTAACATTTATTTCTACGAGCAAAGAGCAAGAGAATAGTACTGCTTTGTTCATGTATGAATGCTGTGAATGCAGTCTTATCAAGGGCTCATCTAAAAAGAGTATGTTTCTTTTTATTATTTCTCGCATTATGTACTACCGTAATATCCCGAGTCATCGCCCACCCCCCAACCGCCTGAATTTCGTTAAAAAAGTGGGGTGGGCCATTTCTCGGTGGGTGAGCACTATTTTATGGATGCTGCTTGTAACAATGTAGTGCAATTCTTGCTTTTGTGTTTCATCTGCAGGAACGTCCTTGAGATCAATTACCGTATTTTCCAGTGTATAAAACGCACCAATTTAATTTCTCCACGACTTCAATATAGGTGCAGCAATTGAGGAGTCGAAATTAGATAATATATTAAGGGAAATTTAGAAAACATATTTCTTTTTAAATATAAGGCAGACCTTAGAAAATCGAAAGGCACAACAAAATGCCGCAGTTGGGCCATCCGCGGTTCCCTGCATCTCCAGATCGCACAACTGCACTCAGCACGATTCCCGGGAGGGCAGGCAAAGGATATAAGACATATGATATCAATGTATTCCAGTCCTTGGAATTTTTGTCTTGATTGAAGTCTTTCGGTTTTTGTTTTGTTTCTGTTGTAACACAACTAACATTTACTGACATTTATAGTACTACCTTTAACCGAATGAATGTGCTGCTTTCATTTTTTGCTTTGATTTGATTCCTAGGATTGTTCTGTAATGCTTTGCGGAATTGTCCTTACCATGTAACTATCTCGATTCACTGGACTTGAGGGGGCAGAGGCTTTGTCAGGCACCATGCCTTTACCTCTGCCCCCTATACAATGAACCCGCAAAACAGAACAAAAACAATAAAACAGTGTCGTCGACTGGCCTCACCTGAAGACGCTGTACCGAAGCGGGATACTCGGCAGGCACCCACTTGTGACGAACGTGCTCGCACAGCACGCTCCGCGGCAGCCGCCTCGACAGGTACACGTAGTAGGTGATGTCCGACAGGGCTTCGGAGACGTGGTGGGGAACCTGGGACACAAGACGGCCGCCCCCTTCGATGCACGAGCTTTCCCACGATGCGACAAAACCTATAATTCGTCCGCCTTCGTACATTTTCGACCGTAAAATCTCAAGTCAATTCCCAAGTGAAGTCGTTCTCACACTGTACTTCGTTTCATTTTTTAAGTTCGACTGCAGTCAACGATATAATCCGAAGAGGCCGACCGAGCGACGCCAAAAGTGTGTCGTCTAATGCTCGTTGTCTTCGTAAGTTTGCCATCACTGGCTAAACCAATCACACGCAAAGAGAACGAACGGGTTCTTTCTTTTTGTGCCCACAGTATGTCACCCACAGCACAAAAAGTGCACAGAAAAGTGCAGTGGGTGGCGAGAAAACACACTTTTTGCGCTGCTTGACTGGCTCTCTGGGACCATGGCCGTCACCTGCGGTCAGCGTTGAGGGAGGACACTACCCAAAAAGGGTAAACTTTTGAACCTTTGGCTTAATATGAATGAAATTTACAGTAGATGGCGGTAGTTCCGCGGCAGAATGCAGTGCAAAGTTTTATATCTGTGCATGAATTGTGAAAGTCGTTTTTATCACAAACACACTGGCATTGTTTAGGAAAACTATCAATAAAAAACTAACGTGATACCCAACATTTTTCTTCACTAGATACGCAGCAGAATGCTTGGAAAGTGCAACTGTGAAAACAGAATTTCCAAAAAGTAATTTATTTTATGCTAACATCGCGCTGCAAAATCTAATACATTCTTTGCCTTTCATCTAGTCGCCAAAATCTTAACATTTTTTATAAAAGACATCCACAAAGAAAAAACGTTCAGCCTTTCCACTCTCGTGAAGAAGGAAGACCAGCGGAGCTGTACTCGATACACTGTGTGCTTCTTCGTCGTCGTCGTCTGTTTTTTGCGCTGTTTCCTACGATGAATTCCCACCAATGCGCCCAACTATCCATTCTTCTGTTATAGCTGGACAGGTTGCCGCCGTCTACGAGCGACGGCGGAAACCATACTGGTTGTGTAATGTCGCTTATAGATGGCAGTAGCTGTCCAGGTGGGTTTGTGTTGACATAAACGGACACAATCCTGGGAAACCTAGCCCTTAACAGCTCTGCTGTAAAAAAAAAAACAATGCCACAGTTGCATCGCCCATCAAATTCCAGTTAGAAAAAAGAATGAGTGTGCCTTTCGTTTCATCCCGTTACTGAACGATAGTTTTCCCAAAGTGAAATATATGCAAAAAGGTGGAACGGAGAAAAATGTGCTCAGGGTACTTGAACCTTCTCTTTAATATTAATAGACTGAAATTATTATTTTTTTTTTTTTTTAATAACTATGCAGTGTAAACAAATATAACTTTCTGGGAATGTACCCTCTAGGTCTAGATGTCGGTGGATGTAAATATAGCATTTTTCAAGATTGACTTTTTTTGCAGAAATCTTGATTACTGGGTTAAAGTGAAAAAGGGTAAAATTCTATAGGCCCTGTAATAGATATAGGGCCTACAACTAGTGGTGCAAAACTATCGATAGTACTATCGATAATATCGATAGTCGCCAGAAATCTGACTATCGATAGTGAAAAAAACTATCGATAGTACTATCGATAGTCGACTATCGAAAAACTATCGATAGTACTATCGATAGTCGACTATCGAAAGACTATCGATAGTACTGATAGTTGACTATCGAAAAACTCTCGAAAAACTATCGATAGTCGACTATCAGAAAACTATCGTTAATCTACTATCGGAAAACTATCGATAGTCGACTATCGTAAACCTATCAATAGTACTGTCGACAGTCTACTATGGATAGTTTTGCGACACTAGTAGTTTGCGTCGCTCCCTCTGTCTATTTATCGCTTTAATTTTTTTTTTTCAAACGGGGCACCAACTAGTTCAGCCACTTACCATCCCAACTTTGGTTCAGCTTTCAGTGATGACGAAGATGGGGGTTTGGGCGAAAAAAGAAGGGGGAGGCAAGCAGTACGGCGAGGGCAAGACGGGCCGGGGAGGAGGAAGCAGACGAACCGCTGGAGAAGAGAGGGGGAAACCTCCTTCTCTCTTTAGCGTTCCGTCTGCTTCCTCCTCCCCGGTCCATCTTACCCTCGACCTACCTTCTTGAGTTGTAACGGACTATAGTGGTGCAAGACTATCGATAGCACTAGCGATAGTATCGTTAGTCGCCAGTATAGCAAAAAACCATCGATAGTCGACTATCGAAAAACTATCGATAGTACTATCGATAGTCGACTATCGAAAAACTATCGATAGTCAACTATCGAAAAACTACCGAAAAACTATCGATAGTACTATCGATAGTCGACTATCGATAGTTTTGGGACACTATCGATAGTTTTGTAAAAACTATCGATAGTATCGATAGTCAATTCATCGATAGTTTTGCATCACTACCTACAACGCCCAATGCGTGAGGCTTTCCTCCACGTGCTCCAGTGTGCAATGAGCCAATGCTTTCGACAGCTTCTTCATCCCCGTGTAGACTAGCTTAAAATGTGGGGATAATGAAGCCACAACGCTCACTCCCCTTTTTGTTGAAAGCTCGGTGCTAGCTTTGCACATAGCTCGACATTACGGGTGGTTAAAATGAGCAAACCAAACATGCTTTCCACCAGTCATTCAAACAATCATAATCTTTCTTATTAAATTAGTACACGAGACTATGGTGCCAGGAACGTGTCTCCGAGTGGTTCGTTCACGCACACGTCCCACACATTGAAATTGGCTCCACAGTGTCAACAAAACACACCGCAGAAGACGGTATGTCATGCTATCAGATTACGCGATCCTGGCAGTTTGTTGTAGATGTTCTGGCAAAAAAAAAAGACGAGCGCAAGCAGGCGTCACTTCGTCCTAACTCGTGACTGTCGTCGCTTCTGTGAAGTGTCGAGATGGAGAGCTATCCGCCGCATTCATCTTTACTGCTGTGGCACCGTGCAAGATCAGTGGTCAAATGTGTTAGTGAGCTCGGAGCACGTGGAGCGAAAGCTCGCGCTGCAGAACCTAAGGTTCCTGGGCTCAATCCTCACCCCTGCCCGTTCCAATCTGGATGGGCATTGTACTGCAGTGCAGACATGTATCACTACTGCGCAATGCACAATAAAGACCCCAGGCTCGCGGCGGTACTGCGCCGGCAAACTTTCTCGTCTACAGCAGAGACACCGGACGCCCATTGGGGCCAACTAACTTCCCACTGTCTAAACAAACACACAACACAATTACTTTTCATGCCACTGCCACGCAATGTCTAAACAAACACAGAACAGAGTGGAACTTTTTCGGGTAACGAGCGCCATCCGAGGGGTTGTTTGCAAACTACAAATGCGGGGCAGGCCAACGTGCCTCCACCTGCCGAAATACGATAGTTTCGTGCCATTGTATAGGTTTTCATTGCTATACATGCCCCACACTACCCATGGTCGAGAAAAGAATCATACAAAAATATTAAATATGCGCAAAGATGGGTGCCGACCACCTCGGTTGTGCTGGACGGTGCCCTCCGAAAACGGCAACAGCTAAAAGCAAGGGCAGGGAGAAGGTGTACACATACGCAGAGGCTCACCGCAAAAAGGTCTATTGCTTTGCGATTGCGGCAGGTGATAATACGATGCGATCGCGACGTCGAGAAAACATCGAGACCAAAACAAGGTCGCGGTATGTGCACTGGTCAGAGACATCTTCCGGGCACCCTGGCGAATGCTCTGACCTGAACCGCCCGGTCGAGAGGGTTGTGGCCCGGTGGCTGTGAAGCTTGTGACATGGAGGCCGACTCGTAGGTGACATCCAGCTGCCGGTCCCCCCTCGTGAGCCGCATCTTGGACCGGCCCAGGTCCCTCCAGCCACCCTCAGACTGGTTTAAGTCCCGCACCCAGGGGAGGACCGGGTGGTGGCGGGGGTTGCCTCCCCGACGGCCGCACAGCTAATGTGTGGAAAAAATATAGGTCTGTCTCAGTCTTCCCCTTGATCCAGCTGCGCTGGGTCAGGGTGATGCGGACATGGTGTCAAGTGACGCAGTGTCACGTGAAATCATTATGTGACATGATGTCTCGGTGTCACGTCACGGTGTTGTACGACGACTGTTACGCCGATGACGGTACGCAATGGCATTCGATTAAATTTAGCGAGATTTAACGGCCGACCCAACTGAGCGGGACATCAGTGTGGTAAATTTCACAGGCATACGGCAGTTTCACATGACAGTTTTTCATGGAGTCACGTCACACCTTCTTCGGGCATCCCAACCCTCAGACACATTCTGGGTTAAAAAAGAAAATTGTTTCTTTGGAATACTGTGTCTTCACAAGAGCCCTGGTCTGCTGATGAAAAAATACAAATTTATAGTAAAGTCGGTGGATCACAGATAGCAGCACGCAAACCTCATCTGGAGCTGTCATGACACGGGGTAAAAAGTTAAATGCGGCTGTTTTGATGAGAACTTGGGGTGGATCATTGGCCAATCCCAAGGAAGATAAGGTAACAAGGCAAGCAAGGTGGTAAAGGTTCATATAAAATATGCGAGACCATGGAAATCGAAAAGAATGTACTAACACTTTTAGGCCTATCCCTGTAGATTTTATCGATCACAAAGATTTCATCATGAACCTGAGAAAGAGCCAAGACTGACAACCAGGATGCTAAAAACTGTGTCAAGCTTTTGAAACAGTATATTTGCTTTGTCATCGATTGGTGTTTGAGAATCAAGTAGCTTGATATGAAGGACTTGATAAATAAAGTGGGTTATCTAAAACTGAAGTTTTACAACAAGCCTTTAATGCTTTCCCTGCCTGAGAGAAGTCCTTCTCTTTCATACACAGATGCACTGCAGGAAAGAAGCTTGATGAAAACCTGCATACAATGCAGTAACTTGCCAAACTGTCTACTGAAATCAGCGACAGGCTAAGAATTCAGGGGAAACCCCCCCCCACCTTTTTTCACTCCAGCAGAGCTATAGTGAGTCAAAACATGTGCACGCACAGCTCTTTGACCAGTGCCTGGCAGCCAATGTGCAAGGTAAATTAATAGTACTCAGTTTTTTTTCACACACTGATTCTAGTTCTTGTCACTGTAAATTTGGTTCTGCCACCTTTGAAAAAAGTGTGCAAGTTGCAAAGAGTCCAGTGCATGTTTCCAATTGTAAAGAGTGCTGATGACAACACAACACATTGCCAAACAAGACTAACAAGGCTCCATATGCGGCTACACATGCCTTCTGTTCAGACACAGTTTGTTTCATGCATGTAACTACACGCCAAGAATTGAAAAATATTGCATCAATATGTAAAATTCGCAGACACCTGTGCGATCAGGGAGGGTAAGAAGTGGCCCATACCTTATTCAGTGCCATGAGGTACTCGAAATTGCTCATGCGCCCTCGAACCCATTCATCCACAAGCACATTCAGAGGTGGTAGTGATGAACCACCTCTGCCCTTCGTGCTAGAGGCTGCGGAAGAGACACCTTATTTGTCATCTTTGAAGGCAAAGTGGTAGTAGACTATGCCCACATACCCCAATCACATCAGGCCACTTTGTTACAACACTTATATATATTAAAAAGATGTACAGTCAGGGATAAAATTTTCCGGACCACGAGAGCGGTGGTTGATATACGCTGCTGTGCCCTCCGATGGTTCGGTACCCCCTGTAAAGCTCGGAGCATCCGCGTCTTTCCATACCCGCAGGGATGCCGATTCTTTCATTTCCAGCAGTCGCGCTGAAATTCTGGATAATTCGCCGCATGGCACCGCTTCGGAAGCATGCGTGCAAAGCTGCACACGTAATGTGAGCTAAGAAGCCATGCTGGCCGGCTGGCCTGAGTGGCCGCGCCTGTGAATCAGCAGAAGAGAAACATTCGTCGATCTCCCAAGCTTATACAGCAGTGCGCGCCGTGCTTGTGGTGACTTCCATCGCCAGATAACGAACGATATGACGACCGATTATCTACAATAGTTTTGACCCCTGCGGGAATGTTACCATGAGGTACACTTGAAAATAGAAGACTCACGACTAGTTTGGCCCTTGTCAGAATGTTACCATGAGGTGCACTTGAAAATAGAAGACTCAAGAGTATTAAATTCTACTCATGCTGATCATATTATGGAATATTAAAAAATGCAAGGAACCAAGTAAATCAAGCTTTCTGATGCGAAATAATTGTTTACTTTGACTTTTGCGAAAGAGCAAGAGTTGGATATTAGAATTATGAAAGACAAAGTGGTGTGCCGGTAGTTGAAAGCCACGCTTGAGCACGAAAGGCCGGTAGCAGGGCCGATGCTCCCTGGGTGGCAATAATGCCTCATTCACTTTGGTGGTTGAACCGCATTCGCAAGGCGGTTCAGGCGCATTTGATAACAAAAACGCTTTGTGCACAACCTGAGCTAGTGGCGTCCCTCTACGAGCTTCTGCTGCAACACGTGACGCAAGTCATTGGGGTGAACAGCAATTTCACCCGTCATTAGGCAGTTCACTTGCAGTGGTCAGCTAGTGGGAGCATATGCTCTATGTATTTTTTATGTGAATAAAGAAATTACTGTCTTGGGGTCGGACGAGGAGGGTTGCCGCAAAAGCGGTGCGCACTGCCGTGTAAGCTTGCAAGGTTGGCGAATCCTACTCTCTAGCTGATTCCCAGGCATGGCCAGCTGGCCAGCTGGCCATGCCTCTGAATCAGCCTCCTTCGAGCGCCGGTCTCGACATCAGGTGCCGTGCCATCAGAAGGTGCAGCAATGCATATCAGCCACCGCTCCCGTGGTACGGAAATGTTAGTCCCGACTGTACACACCCACACTCAAAGATGCGATTAACATGTATTTGATTCAGCATAAAAGCCAACTTGCTACATGAGGCGAGAAGCCATTTGCGCGCACCCAAACTTTCGTACGAGCACTCGAACATGAGATGCGTTTTGGAACCAGTGAGGTTCTTACTTGGCACTAAATTAATTTTTTTTTTTTTTTTTGCAATTAGAAATACTGAGGTTCCTACTTAGCAATTAACTATATTTGTTCTTAATATGAGAATGTCATTTCTTTTATGCTATGTTCCTCACTGTTCAATAATTTAAGTAAATTACGAAAGGTTGCTCTCTAGGTTTCTATCAGGGTTGTAAAGTACCTAGGTACAAGTAACTGTAAATCGGTATCTAGGTAATTTTGTTGTACCTGAGGTACAAACCTAGGTACTTTCATTTCTCAGTATCTGTATCTGTATCTTAGGTACATTTTCCAATAACTTGTAACTAAGTGAAGTTACTTTTTAGAGGTACTTTTGTATTCACTTCGTCAAAATCATAGAAATACAATATGACATGTAACTGAAAATAAATTATAATTACAGTCGTAAAGCAAGTTAACATCACATAGTTTATCCATGCAATAAATCGAACTCAAATTTTGCACTTTACAAAAGTGAAAATGTTTGTGAAGAAAAAAAAAAAAACTGGGAGGACGATTAATCTTTGCCTTTAAGAGTTGAACGCGATAGAGTTATCGGGCCCCGTTCGCATGGCCTTCTCAATCGCTTCTCATGCTCTTGAGTCACACAACGACCTAATTCTTATGATACAACACTCCCGGTGCGATCGAGGAGCTTTTGCCAGTGCTTTGGTGCCAATTTACCCCGCAAGGTATATTTATGTCTTTGCTCGGCACGCGCAGACAACACTCGATGCCATAATGCCTTTATTCTGACACAGCCAGACATCGAGGCACTCCAATGACGGCAGGATCGCAGTGCCATTCCCAAGCCCTCCGTTGCCTAGTTGGTAGCATGTCTGGCTCGCAACCGAAGGGTCGTGGGTGCGATCCTGCGTAAATTCTTAAAATTTTTCTTTAAGGCAAATGAATTAGTTTATGAAGTGGGATCATTTGGAACATGCGGCGATCATTAATTCGTGTGTCTTTAACCACCTTCATTCCACGCGTGACGTCACGTTTCACATGAGCGTTGTGGGTTGTTTGAAATTCCCGCGCGAAGTCAAGTGGCTGTGACGTCACAACCCTATCGACCATTCAGGAATTTTCCGTCACGCCACCGACGCCACCGACATCCGACGGATTTTCTGTGACACGAGCCCTTAAACGCGCTTGCATTAAAATATTATCTTCCTTCCTTAAAACATTGACATCAATAAAGCACGTTTATCAAACTTTTTTTTGTGTACATCCCAGCATACAAAGGGTTTACTTCCAATAATAATGTGACAAATTTGAGAAAAATACTTGACTTGAAAATAAAAAGTATCTTTGAAGTAACTGTACCTGTACCTAGGTACATTTTTAAGCGAGTAGCTAGATACGCACCTAGGTACATTTTCGTATGAGTAACTGTAACTGTATCTTAGGTACATTTTTTAAGTAACTTTTACAACCCTGGTTTCTATCAAGTATAAAATATGTGTGTATATACCACCACTTTTCCTGTTTGTTGTTTTGTCTGCTTTTTTTCGAGCACAGCACGTTTTTGAAATATGCTGCCCTTTACTCATTGCTATCCAGACCTTATGTAGTACAAATGTGTTGTGCGAATATTCGTAACTTCGAATAGTAGTTTCGAATAATACAGTATTCAATATTCGCTTTGAGATGAACTGAGTTATTCATATTTTTCCAAGTGTTGATCGCGGCGGGTTAGCCCCAATGAGTGCTCTCCTTACCAAGCACGAGTGCACTGCAGAGAAGCAACACCCGTGGAAGCGAGCTGCACAAATGTTGCTTCTCTGCAGTGCTTGGGTGCACGGTAAGAAGCGCACTCAACGGGATTACCCGCCGCGTTTGTTGCTTGGAAAAGCATGAATATTGCAATTACGTGCTTGAGAAAAATACTTTCAAAGCGATCACTGCACGAGCGTGCCTGGTGTATTTAAAAAGAAATGGAAACTTTGTGAATGTTGTTATCTACATTGCAGGAAAAATTTTCAAAATTTCAAAATGTTATGCAAGATTATCTGTCAGGCAAGGTGCCCCGACAACCTGCATTTGTCATTCGTGATACTTTTGTTTGTTTGTTTAAATTACATTATGAAGACGGAATATTCGCAAATAGCAAGGACTGTAAATCCACTCAATTAGGTACAGCTGGGAATCGCTCTAGGTTTCACTTCATGTCAAATTCGTCGTTTAGTTGCCATCGCAAGGCATCGGAGTTTCTGAGGTCACAGTCTACAGATATCATTTGATTAAAATTAGCTTACAAAATAGACAAGTAGAAGCTCAGTGACAACCTTCACGAGTTTAGCTGGGTTTTCGTTTAAGCATGGTGCAACAGTTTTGAAATACTTGGAGAAACTATTCGATATGCAGTTAAAAAATATTCGGCCGAAAACACAATTCACTTTGGACTTAAAACCCACTACTATTAGCACATGACTAAATTTAAACAAACTAATCGGCTCTTAGCAAAGCAGTCAAGTCGAAACCCAGTATTCTGTCGTGCTAGCAGCCATCATGTCTCCAAAGGGAAAATAAAATTTTCAATTCAATGAAGCAGCCACTAAGAGTTGTTCAATGCTATCCATATATACCTTCAAAAAAGTTAAAATCTCTTCTTAGTGTAGGTTTCAGAACTAGCGCAGTCTAAAGCGTGAAACACACGTGAGCAAAGATTATGTCGCTTCATGCCGCTGAGCGGCATAACCATGGCAACTGCCGCCATGGCAACAACTGCAATGGTTGCATTGGTCAGTGGTGTGATACGGTGTGATTTCTGCTCGCATAGGAGAGGAATGTAGCATACTAAATCCTTATAAATCTTTTGACAAATTTTAGAACCAACAAATTATGAAACACATATCTGTAGGCTTTCTGGAAAAAATGCTGGCTAACTTTAGACCTGCACACTGTGAACAGAGGGTAAGATGTTTCGATTAATCGTTAAAAAATTTCTCCAAAAATATTTGAAACTAGAATGTGTAGGTGAAGGAACGACTCAAGCGAAGTTTTATTCTAGTCACGGACCAGAAAGGTGTGGCTCGTAAATTTCTGCGGATTTACAATAGGCTAGAAAAGACACTGACCTTCAGGACAAACTGCTGTCTTAGCTAATGGTTCCTCAGCAACAAAGGTCTCCTCCCATGAATCTTGCTGGAGGGCTAGCCACCAAGGTGGTGTCGCCTGAAGCCAGAACCGATGATCCAGGCTCAGATCTCTGATTAAAGCAGTAGGAAGCTTGTTAGTGGCCTTGGTTTACATGATTTCAAAAGCATTTAGACAGAAAACTGCAATGCTCACACAACTTGTACAGAACAAGCAAACTACAGTAGAACCTTGTTGATATGTTTTTCAGGCGACCGCGAAAAAAAAAAGTACCATACGGGAAAACATAACGACCGATATCGCACTTCGGGGGGTTCTACATGAGATAGAAAGCAGCTCTTATACATTGGTTTATTTTATGTGTACATACAGAACTGTTGAGGACTCAGACATGTTCACAAAAGCGCGTAATATCCGCCTGCCACTTCGAGCTTTCGCCTCGACCTCCTTTCGTTTGGCGACGATGCTGTTCAAAGTTGACGGCGCGAGTCCGAGGTCTCTTGCGATGTCAGATCTCTTCGGGCTGGGGTTGCGATCCACCGTCTGAAGTGTATCAAACTTCTCTTTAAAAGAGAGTGCCTTCCTTTTTCACGATGCCATGACCGTCGTGAATGGGCGCCAAAGCGCACGTACGTACTCCAAAACACCACGGCTCAAGCAATCGAGTGGAACAGAAACTAGAAGTGCGGCATGCATGCGGGTGCAGCTAGTGCCAGATAAAGAGGACAGATGAAAGAGAGAGCAAGAAAGAATGAGCGTTTGCCGCCTCGCCAGCCTCGCTCCCCGTCCGAGCAGTGCTCCAAGGTCACACCTGGGCAAGATAGGAAGCTGTGGCAGAGCTCAGCAATGCCCAGTAAGGAGACAGAGAGACGAAAAGGAGGGGGAAAGGAGTAAAGGGAAGACGGGCATCTGCGTGCCCACGAATGTCGTGCAAACCACATTGCATGGTTCTGCTTTGCTTCGCTTCGAAACCAGCGTGAAAGCCAGGCACCCGGCGCACTGCGATGTCGACACTTTTGGACGTAACAACCGGGAAAGCAAATGTAACAGGCAGGAAACTAATACATGTATCTTTACGGAAGTAAAACGGGACCGGCATTTTTTAACGCAACAGCCGGAAAAACGTATCAACCGAGAATGTATCAACAAGGTTCTATATGTCTTTTCTTGTGGAAGTGCTATCCTGGCAACAGCCAAACAATAGATCTGCGACTTTGCGCTCAATAGAGCAGCCAGAAGCACTACGTGATGAAGTCACTATTTGGCTGCTGCAGGATAGTACTTGCATAAAAGAAATACCCTTTTCATTATACTTCAAAAAACATTTTTACAGTTTCATCGATTGACAGCTTACGAAGCGTACATAACAGACAACGAGTACATAGCAAACAAAGGGTCCATAACATACGAAGAGTACATAGCAGGTAAAGAGTACTTAGTAGGCAAAGAGTACACAGCAGATGAATGTAGAGTAGCAGAAGAGTACATAGCAGAAAAAGAATACAGAGCAAAAAAAAAACCCACAGCAGACGTGGAGCTTGAAGCAGAAAGAGAGTTCATAGCAGAAGAGTATGTAACAGATGAAGGGCTCATAGCAGAAGAAAGGTATATAGCAGACAAAACGTACAAAGCAGACAAACAAAGAATTTATAGTGGAAGAATGGTACATAGCAGACAAAGAGCAGACAGCAAACAGAGAGCAGGTGAGGGGTACAGAGCAAACGAAGAACTGCATCTGCCTCAACTTACCCCAGCGTTACGGGCCCCAATGGCAAGCCCAGGTCATGGAGGTAACGGAGCAGACGTAGCAACTGGTACACCACAAAGAGCAGACGAGAGCCCACCAGCACGGCAGCACTAAACATGGCGCAGTGTTCCGCGGTGTGTTCCCTAAAGTCCAGGAACAGCAGGAACTCTGAGGCAGTCTCTATAGCACAGTGGGCCGGAACCAGGTTCGGATGTGGGGTCCCCGGTTCAGCACCTGCTCACAAATTTTACAAATTTACATTTTGGTAAATTTTTACAATTTTTGCATTTTGTAAGACCTTACTAACTTTCTGTTTTTCAGTTGTTAAAATTTGTATGTTTTTGTATTTTGCAAAATTTACTATCTTATATTTCGAAAATTTACAAAATTCTAGATTTAGTATTTTAGTTTTGTGAATTTTGACAATTCTGAAGATTTATAAAACTTACAGGCACCTTTTTTTTTGGCACGAAGGAATATTTTTTTAGGGAAGAAGTTACCCAAGCCAAGCACCATCTGTCTGAATTATTGAACATAAATCTATGGTTCCAATAGTTTGCACTATAGTAGACAGATAGATAGATAGCAACTTTATTCAAACATGATGGTGGGGCGCACCAGCCGCCTTGGTCAAGGCAGCTGCTGTGTACATGTATATGTGTATGTATGTATATGTATGTATATGTAGCAGGGAAAGGGGGAGTTGTGTGCCATGCTCTTCGAGAGCTGCCACGTACGGTCGAGTGATAGCCCGATTTATTTCCAGAACTCTCTATCTAGAAAAATAAGTAAAAATGACATGAATCCCACAAAACGAATTGTGATCATAAGGACAACAAACAAATTTGACGAAATTCTGAAAGTGGAGACACATTTTGTCGTTTGATTTTTCTTGTGCTTTTCAATTCTTTCCAGAAACAAGTCATGATGCTTGTGAACAAAGTCTGCCCATATTTAAGAGTCAGAAAGAGATCTCACCCTCCGTAGGATCATTATCTCCGCTCCGTTGTATGACAGGGCACACATACAGCCTGGACAAGATCTCTCGAATTGCAGTGTTGTACTCCTGTAACGAAAAGAGAAATTTCACCCATAATAAAGTTTATTTATAACTTTTACTATACAAGCAATCTTGATGGACGCACGGACATAGCCATTTTTTTTTTGTTAGTACACGGCACGACACAGTTAGTGCAAACAAGCACTTGCTGTTTTTTATAATTGTTTTCTCTTACAATTGAAAGGATGCCATCAGACTTACTATTCTGGTATAGAGGTCTTATTCGAGGAAGTTACATAAATAATAAAATTCGGTGACCGCCATTACCCCAATATAGAAATGTGTAAATGCGTCGCCACCGTGTCCGCGCTAAGGGTGTACATTAAGGGGGCAACGCACTGATTTTAACATTGAAAGAATTTGCAGCTTGTAATTTTTACATACTATATCTAAAAAAAACAAAAAAAAAACATTTTTTTTATTACTATTGAGATTTGGTTGCACATTATTAAAGCAAAAATCTAGAATATTTTGAGATTTGCAGCTGCAAGTGGAAGCCATGGGAACTACAGTGCGACGTCAAGCCAGGTGCCTCGTAATAAGCGGTCAAGATGTGTCTTTGCCTGGTTAATATCAGGCTATGTTTCATCAATTTAGCAGTTTCCACATGAATAAATACATCAAAAGCCTCGTATCTTCAACACAATTTTATTATATCGATTTAGTAGCGCCATCTGCACATAAAACCATTCCTTCTGCTCTGCCAATCTCCGCTACCATAGTGAGAGGGCTAGAGCAGGATGTGCGGGCTGCCCGCGCGTCATCGTGGGATTGCTCTCCACATCGACGTTGCAAATTCCGCAACCGAGTCACTGCCACCGGCGCCACTGTTCGAAGTTTTCGTTTCAAACATGCCGACCCCAAGCGTTTTCCACCGCTGTGGTGCCCAAAGTTGCTCGCAGAAAGCGGACGTGCACAACGAGTTTCCGTGGCTTTCGATAGCCAGTTTAATGCCTTATATGTCGTATCTATTTTTTATTTTATTTTATTAAAAAAAGCTAGGTATATTGCAACTTCCATAATTATCTGAACAAAGTCCGAAAGTTGTTGCATGGCCCCTTCGACAACGTTATGTGCGAAACCACTTGCCTTGACGGGCTTGAGCTTGATAGAGCCCCTATCCTGGGAACCCCGCGGCTTGGAGCTCGCACTGTTGGCTTCTTTCCAGATGTTGCGATAGTTGGTCTCCGAGACATACCGCACGAGCTCCAGGTAGCCGAGGTCGTGCGATCGACTCCATGGCTCCTTCAACCGCAGTGACACGAATCTATGACGGCAAGCTTTTGGGATTAGCAGACATGTCCAGATGCCGTGGGAGAATGGAAACACTCTAGTCTCAGAGAAACTGCTAAAGGGCTGTTCAAACAGGTCACTTCAAGAACACGTGAAGCGACACTTGTTCGCCAAATAAAGCGCGACGCTCCTCTATCGTCCGTTCTTTTTTTGCTGGGGGAGAAAGCTTGTTTTTTACCAAAGTCCGCTTAGGTACTTCACGCAGGCCTAGAACACGCTCATCACGTGGTTCTGACATCACACGCCCGGCTGGCCGTGTGATGTCCATCAGTCGCTTGAGCCTTCCGCCATTCTCCGAGTCCCAAAAAAACGGGAAAGGGAGAGAAACGTGGGTGCGGCAGAACAGATGGGCACGCAAACGGCACGCCATTGGCAGGTGGCATGTGACCTCGAGTCTGACGAGCACCGAGGTTTCTCAGAAAAGGGGAGGAGGTTAGGAGGAAAGCCGTGATGTTTGCCCGGTGAACGTCGAAACAGAAAACGGACTACCCAACAACTTTCACTTCGTATGACGGAAAAGTGTCGCCTCGTGCATTCTAAAGTATCACGTTTGGACACCCCTTAAATTGTTGCTTTCACGATCGCACTTAAATACGAGCCAATAAGCTTGAATTCAAAGTTAAACTTGGGGTTTTTATGTGCCAAACCAATGAAGGTCATTTGGCACGCCCCAATGAAGGGCCGAGGATTAATTTGGACCACAGGGGGACTTCTGACGTGCAACCGAAATCTCGGCTACAAACGAGCCTCCGTCAGATAGCGAGCACCTCGGCCGGGATTCAAACCCGCCACCTGGGGACCCGTAGGTTGGCACTTTGCCTCTGAGCCGCCGTCCACCGCGTTAAATCAGCTGTGGCGGGCCAGCACCACGAGCTCACCTGTTTGTGAGCTTGGGAATCCGGACGACCGTGACAAAGCAGAAATCCTGAGAGAGCGCAGAGGGAGGCTGGTGAATGAGCACGCTGCACTCCGTGTCTGTTAAGTGGTCCTGGTGTCGAAACGACGCCGGTACCTTCCTTCCCGACACAAGCTGCTGCAGCCACTCTTTGTGCACCTGGGAGACGAAAGGAGGACAAGTAGTGGGCCGTTGTCACAACAATGTGCGACCCCTCGAAAAAGGTGGTTCACACACTTGCGACTGCTGACGACCATGTATCTTAAACCCCCTTAACATCTCTTACAACGAGTAGGGAGGCTGTAGTGAGGGTGGGCGCAACTCAAAACCTGGAGAGCGTTTGCAATTTAATGGCGGCGCCTGAGGGAGAGGATTCGAGAAAGGATATGCGCCAGTGTTGCCTGCACGAGAGCAGGCGCCCGCTCTGTTGCAACTCGGTTGCTCCATGCGCCTTTCCTCCTCTCGCCTCCCATTGCAAGCAACGAGCGCCTTGGCGCAGCCTCTCTCGCTTCCTTCTCGCTCCGAGAATTGCAAACGTCGAGCGGAGAAAGCAAAGTTGCCAGACAAGCAGCAACGTCCAAGATGGCGGAATTTACGATTTTTCGCGTTAAAAAAATACTTAACCTATCGGAACAAAACTGGTGGCTATGGCAAAGTAATCATTTATACCTCGTGTAAAATATTCAAGCACCTTAATGGGCTTCTATGACCCGAGTTAGGAAAGAAAAGGAACCTTTGCCCCATAGACTCCCAGCAAAATTTAGCAATTAAATGGCGTCCATGTCCCGTGATCGCCGATCTAGCAGTTGCACCCACCCTCACTTGAGCCTCCCTAACAACGAGCGAATACGTTGGCTCCACCTATCGAGTAGCGGTGGAACTCTTCCGATCTGCGTATAACTAGACCAATGGTTGTGCGGCATCAGCAAGGTCAAATCTATGCACTATCTACGAGAAATTGCCACTTATTGTCAGAATTATTTGAACCACACAATGAATGAAGCGTAATATATGTACGGAGGAGGAAGGCAGTCAACGGTTACTAAGTAGGTGGCACCAGTGCATTCTCTCATAGTAAGTGCTCACAACTGGTTGCAACACAGTCGATCAGACTCAGACGCAAATGCTTTAACTGTTCGAAGAAGCAACGAAGCCCGCTTCTTGCATGCGCGGGTGTAGTAGTGTATTCAATACCTTTGACGTTTGGCAGGGAGTGTGTAGGCCAGACAGGAAGGTTTGTTAATAATAGATTCGACGCATTTAAAGCTGCTGGAATAGCAGCCTTAAATGTGTCGAACCAACTTTAACAGTTGAAATTTTGTGTAAGAGCATCAAAAGGCAGAAGAGCAAGGCTCTTCCACCAGGGATGCAGAGTGTTCAAAAAATGCCCCAGTTGAATTTGTGGCTTACAGCTTGGTCCTACTTGGGCTTTCATTGGAAAGGAATCTCCTGGAAGCTTTAAAGAGAAATTGATGCCATTTAAAATAAAAGCTGAGCTGGCAGCAGCTTGCCATGGAATTTTGTCTCCCAAATTAGGTTACGACGCCAAAATTGGGCAGGAGTCGGCATAAACAGCATATTTTTCAAAAGGGAACGGAAAATCAGCGATTACGTTGTTGCTACTAATAACATTCCCAGATTTTCAGAGCTTTTCAAATTATAAAACCGCATCGGCTCCCCTTTGAAGGGGTAGGTAAACGAAACTCCAGGGCTCATTTTTTAGATTTAATGTGTTGCATGTTGTGACATAACCTCAAAAATACCGGTCTTTCGTTGAAAGACACAAGCAAACTAATTTTAAAGCTAATTAAACAATCTTTCAATGTGCACCTGGTGGATGCATGTGGAGCCTATTTGGGAGGTAATCTAGCAACGTTGGGGAACTTGCTACGTAGCCATGACGCAGCAAATTCCTTCAGAGCAGCGCCGCTCTTTGGAATCTCAACATTTGCCTTTTTAGCTTTCCTCCTCAACTCACAAATCGCGTATTGTACCAAACAGTCCAAGAAGACGGAAAGGAGGGAATCCCCTCTTTCTCCGACCCTCGTTTGTGTACTGAGAAAGTCATTCTACCCCAAGAAGATTAGCCCGTCGCTCAAAACTCGGACAAAAGTTGCTTTTCCCACCCCATTCAGCCCTAAGCTGACAGTGTTATGAAAGCTACGTGCTCTTTGGGCCAGCCACACACTCGTCACCCCACGGGTACTTTGAACGGCTCGGTTGTAACGCGTTGACGCTATTGACACCACCACAATGCTGACAACGCCATTAACGGTAAAGCTCATAACCACGCCAGTATTGCTACGTCACGAATGCGGGAAATCTCTTCTTTCTGAGAAGAATGGTTGTTTGGGCGAGTTGGTTTGACATCTTGTTTTTGTTTGCGCCAGATATCCTATGAGGCATCGCCCTCTCCGTTCGCTGCTCTTCGAGCGCTTGATCGAGTGCACTCTTTGGAACGAAAAATACAGCCAGTCGTTCAAAATATAAATGTGCAATTATCATTTATGGTTATTATCCGTCATGCTTGACTCATTTTCGAATGAAATTTGAATATTCTAATTTTTGTTCCCGTACCCCTTTAAGGGTGGCCGCCACAATGGTTTGCTAAGAGATGCAACCTCTTCAAAGTCCTGAAAAAGCGAGATGCTGCATGCCACAAGATTCCAGGATGCTCTTTTTCAAGCTCTTGCACCAGCTCCCACAGCTTCCACTGTACTTTGTTTCATCTCACAATGGATCGCAGAGGATGCTACGGATCGCAGAGGATGCTACGGATACCGGCATAATACATTCACAGCACTGGATGCAATGGATGGCTCATAGTGAAGTGGAATGTTTTGGACGAATTTGCGATTCGTGCAGAACTTGTGTCTGTCGGCTTTTGAAAAGCTAGCTGCAGCTGGTAAAGTGAGGTGAGCACATGAAATGAGTGCTCCAAACAGCAAAAAAGGTAGATGTTCTTCTGCTGGCACCTTGCTAGTTTCTTCAACACTGACACACAATACCAGATCTACAATGAAGCCATCCTGCGGCATTTTCATTAGTTCTTGCTCGAACATGTTAAGAAAGCTGCTTGAAGTGTAACTGTTAACCTCAGTCAACGCCAAGTCTTTCTTTCTTTTTTTTTTTTTTTTTTTTAAGTAAGCAGAAGACTTGAGGGAAAACAAACTCTCTACAGCATGTGATTGTCAGTGGCACTCACTGTGGCGAAGTTAAAAAAGAGCACATATCCCGAGGCTGTAGGCTGCCTGGTGCGCGTACGATTCATCACAGAAAACTATCACATCGAGTCTCTCTGCATTTTTACGACCCGGGAAACCAAACACACATTCGGGTTTGAACTCTGAAGCAGACTCAAAACCGCCATCAAATTTACCAGAAAGGTAGCATTCTGGTTGTGTTTCCAATAAACAAACCTTAATTACTACTTCCGAAAATTTATCCGCAAACACTTACCACGCACACGGCACTGTCGGGGCTCGTAGTTTTAACATGACTGGCCCGAACGCCAATGGTATCATGCAGGAGAGAATTCATATCCATGATACTGGATGGAGCCCAGGGCCCAGCGGCTACTTTAACTGTGGCCATTCATTTTGAGTCACGGCGGATAGCGTTTGTTGACATTTCGACTTCACACATTTTGGGAACATGGCCGGCTTGGATCTTCGCTGGCATCGCGACGAGGGCACAGTTAGTTCCGGGTTTGACAGAGCGTTAAATAAAGTACGTGCGCGAATTTGTGAAACATTACAGGTGCACTTTTCGTGTGGAAACACCGGAAACGCCAACGGTGAAAGAGAGGAAAAATCAATCATATGTTTGTGTACCTCCCCCACTACCTCCCTTCAATCAATGTGGCTAGCTCAACTGGAAGTGTTCATTTTCGACGCTGTTTATGGCAGGGCGATCAAATGATTTTATGAAAAGTAATATCAAAGTTACACATATATAAAAATGGTATAACATAATTAACAAATTCAAAGTGATGGGTATTTAAAATTGCCCAAAGCATTATTTACTTAACTTGCGCTGTTTCGGTTTCTTTTTGAGATATGCGGGGCGCAAGTTTGTCTGCTTCTTTTGCTGGGGTTGGGTGTACGTCAGAACGCCGAGCCCTGATTGGCACTAATTCAAGGATAGTGGGTTGTCTTCAAGGCAGTTTGCGTTGAGGTCTACCCACTATCTTTCAATTGGATCCAATTAGAGCTCTGCGTTCTGACGGCGTCAAGACCACTGAAAAAGGAGCAGACGAATTTGCGCTCCGCGTTAGACGCGAGTGACGCAGACTAAGAATACATGTTTCATTAGATAACAAAGAATTTTAGAAGCAATCAGAAAATCCTTACGGTCTGCATTCAGTGAATACGAGCCTGGCCGGTACCATTTTTATGCCCAGCTGGCTAGAAACATCTACGGCTGAGATTACAAAGTACCTAAAACTTTTTTTTAACAGTTTGGTTGGGACACGCGTTTCAAAAAATTTATTTCATGCACAAAAAAAAAAAAAAAATTGTAGAGAAGAAGAGTTAGGACGCGCGACCGTTTCAAACTACAGCATGTAGGGCGTCCCAGAAAAAAAAAATATTACAAAAATAAACTACGCATCATTATAATGCAATTAAATGCGAAGGTGCAAGCGAGCTGGACAAGAATGACGAAAGTAATCCCTGGAGAAGGGGAACAAGAGGGACAAAGGACAAACATATGTTTGTCCTTTGTCCCTCTTGTTCCCCTTCTTGACACGTGCTGACGGCAGCGCTTCGAACCAATGAGAGAATCGCACGCGTCACCCTCTCCCCCTCCCTCTCTCCCGGGCGCTGACGAACGAAAGACACCGCCAGGTTTTCGTGAAAACGAGCGCATTAACGTTTCGCCTCCCATGCGGGAGTCATCTTCAGTAAGTTACACTAGCAATGCAAGGGTCTATCTCGACACAGCTCTATTTATATCGGAAAGTTCCGTATCAGCTTCAACACTTCGGGGATAGTGCAGCGATTTTTGTTGCACAATGACGATGAACAACGATTCTAGCAGTTTTCGGTTACCCCACCTCTTCTCTATCCGTAGGGTCACCGAAAACTGCTAGAATCGTGGTTCTGCTTTGGCGGAGCTTTCACATAATCTCAGCAAAGTCTGAAACCGGTCGCGCGCAAGGAGTACGCCGCGATCCTATGCTTCGGTCTGTGCGCGATTGGTCTAGCCGGTGCACAAAGACGACGAGCGCCGTGACGGTGCACTTTTGGTGGTGCTTGATTGGCTCCTTCGGATCCTTGCGTCGGCGTGCTCTCCAAGGCTCGTGGATGGCTCGTGAATCGCTTGTGCTGGAGACGCCCCAACCGAAATTTTCGCCTGCTCTTTTAATCCTTGTAAAAAGATCTCTTACTGAACTTGGACACGAAGAAAGGGCAGGAAGCTGATCTTTTCACAAGTATGTACCAACAGAAGCTCAACTTGAATTTAGCTTTTTCTTATCAGCCACCATAAACATTGCATATTAAATGTGATTTTGTTTTGTTTTTTGTACAACTGGTTCATTCTTTCCTGCATTGACAGAGAGGTTCGCAATATTGGAGATAAAATAAATAATCTAAAAAAAAGCACGTTTGACACCCAAAACGTTGGCTACAACCCGTTCGCCCGTTGATCCACTGCGATCGACCTAGATACGGCTCCCTCAAACTTCGCCTTTGTCCCTACCGTGGGTTATCTTCAGCCTTGAAGTTTATACAACGGAACCGTCTTCCCCCTTTGCTTGGCCAGAAAGAATTAAGAGGCGGGAGGTAAACCAAATCCATTTACTCTCGAATCTATATTTCTGCAAAAGCTCCACAGCAAAAGAAAAAAGAACTCGGAGCCATATAGACCTTTCCGGAAAATCCCAGGAGACCTTGCAACGAGGTGAATTGTGGAGCTGATTGGATGTACACTCGGGGGTGCTAGCTCAAACACTTTGTAGATCCTGGTAGTGCAACGCGATTCATTATTTTTTATCATTAGGAGCTTGGAACACACAAAAACATTAAGTTAACAGAAAAGAAGGTCAATACTCTGTTTTGTTTTCCTTTTTCTGCATTCTGAAATCACAAACTGCTAATCCAACGTCAACTTCGTATTCGCTTCTTGAATAATTTCGCGTGCCGTACATCTGTATGTCACAATAAAACAGACGCTGGGGGCATCACATATTCCTGGAAAGGTCTATTGGTTCTCCGTGCTAGAAGCGTCAAGTTATGTACCAGGAAGGTATTCGTTCAAGCTTGGTAAGGCTTAGTAGTTCCCAATTCCTGCAGGGTCGCTCGAACACTGAATGACGAGAGAAAGAGTGGGAAGGGGGACTAACATAGGAAGTTTGGGCTAGCTGGTATTTCATGATTAAAAATTAAAACAGCACAAGGACGAGAACAAGAAGGTAGACGAACAAGGCGCTGGGAAGGGGTAGGGGGGAGTTAAAAGAGGGACATATAGGATAAAGATTAGACAAAACATATTTCCATCTTCGTCTTATATGTTCCTTTCATTCCTGTAACTTACCAGCGCACTCCAATTCGTGGAGTACAGTAGAAGCGTAGAAATCTGGGCGAGTTGGTGATGCATCGGAATGAGAAAACAGCGCAAACAAAATGACGGACCAGTAGAAGAGTATACACACAGACAAGGTGCTGTCTGTGTGTATACACTTCTACAGGTCCGTGGTTTTGTTTGCGCTGTTTTCTCATTCCGTGGAGTACAGAGAGGCTGAACGTTTAATTGACACCCAAAATTATGCCCTGGGTCTTGTCTCGGCACTCCTCACCCAGCACAACCTTGACATGCTAAACCAGGAGCGGCTAAAGGATTGCTTTGATCCCAGCAGGGGGAATGGCCCTCTTCCCAGTTCCCGGACTCTTGCGTGTCTGGAAGGGTTTGCAGTGTTGTTTGAGCATGACTGCTACCTTGGGGCTGTTCCAAAGCTGATAGGCATTAGTGGGCTATTAGGGAGGCACTGGCCGTACTGACTGCAGGTACTGCATCGTGGAGTGACTACAGCTAACCGACCTTCAGTTTTTGCTAATTCTAATTCTGTTTACCACAAAATCCCGGAAGGGCGCCCACACCCGATTGATGGCCCGCCCTTTGTCACCCAAATATCTATTTCAGTCATTCTGCCCGATACATCGCCCACCCTCTAGAATAGCAAGTCCCAAAAATCAAAAACGCACAAAAAGGCTTTTTTTTTTTTTTTTTTTGAAAGCCCTTCCCCTTCCCTTTTTTTTTGCAAAGGGAAAAGGTCACATTTTTGAGGACTAGAGTGGTAAGGGGGCAAAACCCGACAAAGGTTCAAGGTTACTCTTTCGGTGCCCCCGCATCCGACCATCCAAATTGATAACCGGAAAGGAAAACTAAATCGTACTGACCTGGCCATTTCATTCCTTGATCTGCCAGTGAACTGTGAAGATGTTTCTCTTGCGGTCCCAGTATGAGACCCAGCTACACCATCCAGAAGGTGGAAATCGTTGACTGGCACCGCAAGAACGGAACCAACGTGAGCAAGACTGCACGCCACTTCGAGGTCAACAGAAAGCGTGTACGGGAATGGAACACGAAATACCAAGTGCTCTTGCAGCAGTGCCATGGAAAGACCAAGCTAAAGAGAACGATGGGTACTGGACGAACCGTTTTCAGTGAAGAAACTGAAGACACAGTGATGAACTTCCTGGAGACAGAGATCAGTCGGTTGGGTCGTCAGCAACTGGCTTCTCAAAGAGCACGTGCGACAGCTAGCTACACAGATGGGTCTGGGCAACTTTTAAGCATCGGGCCAGTACATCGCTCGCTGGAAAAAGCGCTACGATGTGTCCACACAGGTTTGGACAAACGAAAGTCAAAAGCTGCCTGCCGACTACGCTGAAGCGAAGCGAAGAAGTTACTCCGAAGCACTTAAGTTTGTTTTTCGCCTTCCAGCTTCCGGCTTCTGGTTGGCCTCATTCGAATTTTTTAAGACGCCTGGAACACGCCCAGCCTGCTTTCGGCCAATGGCGCCTCCTGATTTGTCTCCTATACTTCCCAATGAATGGCCAAACTCTCTACATATATGGCTCAGAGTTAGGCCACATTTATTCACCGGTTGTGTTTGAGGCCTGTCGCCTTTGTGCTTTCTCAAGGCATGCACCTTCCTAAGTCAGTCAGTTCGAAGTTGTCAATTAATTTTGTATTTGTATTCTTTTCAGAAATTGTGCGGGTCACATCGTTTATAAAAAGGTGGATGACCTCCCCCTTCCTCCAAGAGTGGATACACAGGGTCTGGGGACCGAACGTCGACGACATGAGAAGGCTCCTCATGCTGGACCAGGTGCCGATTCATAAAACTGAGGCTGCTTGAGAAACTCTATATGCCAGGAACACAGACATAACCTTGATTGATACCAGGCGGCAGCACATCAATAGTGCTTCCCGCCGATGTGTCGTGGATGAAACTGCTCAAGGATGCATTGTGCGAGCATTGGGCCATGTTTGGGAAGGCAAGCGAGCTGACTCTCAAGAGGAATCCAAAGAGGTGGTCAAGGCAGTTCATCGTTGACTTTGTGGTGAAGGCGTGGGCCTCCCTCTCCGAGGACAAAGTGCAGCGGTCCTTCAAGAGGTGCGACATTTCAACGAGCCTCGATGGAACGGAGGACAGCAAACTTAAAGGAGCGATGCAACAATTTTTGTACTTTGAGCAAATACCGCTTAAAACGGATCCCTAACGTTAATGACCTATGAAACACGCGTTCGTTTTTCACCCTACGCAATAGAAGTCCAGAAAAAAAATTAAAGAAAAACGAGCAGCGTTCACCCCCTCAACTCGCAGCCAGAACAAGCGGCCACGTGATCTGGAGC